TCTCTGTCTTGGCATTAGGTCAGTTATTACTCTTCCATCATTTGTTTCTTTCTACTCTTCCATCATTTGTTTCTTTCACAAAGAAAATTGTTAGAGAACTTCCTACCTTTTAATACCCTGGAGCTTTTTTCTCTCATTGCTCAGATTTATGCTTTTGTAAAGTTTTACAAAAATAACTTTGACAGACAACAAAACACATGCAGTCTGCTGGCATTCTTTTCAGTTTCAAAACCACATAATAAATTTTTCCACACATTGATAAACTAGATTATAAAAGTGCATTTTCTGGATATCTAGATAATCAAAAACACAATGAATATAAACATTTTCTATAAATAGTTCACCATATGGCTATCATTCTCAACAGATGGTGTCTGTGTATTCACTAGAATATACAAGAGTTATGCAAATTTTGCCCTGCAATCATTCAAAATTCTAAACAAGATTTTCTTCAGTTTTATTAAGCTTTATCAAAGTCGAAACACATCATTTTATCACCTAACTCAAATATGTGGGAAAAATGTCATAACTATATTAACAAATGAATTTGCAAAAGGCAGTACAGTTGAAACGGTTTTTTTATATAGACACTAGGTACATGATTTTCTCAATCCTAGGACAACACACTACTGCTATTGATAGTTTTTACCTACCCAAAAAGCAGACCCACTTGTAAACAGCCAGCAGTTCATCAGAAAAAATGCAGTCTGGACCATGTTATGAAAAAATGTGTAGTCCAAGGTATCTGAGAGTTTCTATATAATTTGCAGCAAATATTCTCATATGCATTTTAAGGTCATCAGTTATGGTAACCAAGCAGGTGATGATTACTGCAGTATTAACGGCACCCTAGCTCTTCACCAATTATCATTAGTCGTTGACCTGTAGCTGTAGCAACAAAGTCTATTAGAAAGCCTACAAATTTTATACAGTTTTAGTAAAAAAAACCCACTCATTTTTTACAATTTAAAAGCCAATATATAAATATCTCCATGTTTTCTACTGGGCAGTTCAGAATATCTATCAAAACAACACATGACCAAAAGTTGACTAGATATAAACATTTTCTGGAAAGCTCTTCTTGAGCTACACTGGCTTATCTGCTGGAAATCATATTCTAATTTTCAGTCTAGACATTTTTATAGCATTTCTTATCCACTTGAAAAAATACTAGTTTTAATTTCTATAGTTTTTCAAACTTGTTACTGTTTCTCACCTGATGCACTTATGGTAAAAATAACACATTCCCATTCCCCTCTCAGTTAAGTTGCTAAGTTTTCTGTTCTGAAGGTCCTGACTGATATTAGCTTTGTCAGTCATGACTTCTTCTCTATCTGTTCCTATAGCTCCCATGGCGCTCCTGTAGCAGGATCTACATCATTCCAGCTAAATCATTACTTGTTCCTGCACAGACACCAGACACCTTTGTGGAACCTCCCTAAGTGCAGAGGAGGGAATCCCAGCCAATCCTCCTCAGAACTGCAAATTACTGCAATATTGGATAATGGCTTCAGGATACAAAAATGTCTCTTTTTTTTACCCCTCTTTATTTTGACAGGAATATCATTACATTATCATGATGTCTTCAATGCACCTGAAAGTCCTGCACAACTGCAGAAGGCAGTTGTGCATCTCAAAGCCCAGCAAAACAATAACATCTTCTAACCATGTACAAGTCGCCAAGATATTCCTCTGAAAATCAAGGGCCATAATTTTAACTTACATATAAATGAGAGTACATGAGAAGGATAATGCATGGTACTGAGCTGTGGAATTATGTCTCAGTGTTCACAACGCACGAGCTTTTTGCGTACTGCTAAGTACTTTTTGCAGATTTTCAACACACTGATTTGGCCAGACAATACCAATTGTAGCTTGATGAACAGGACACTGATTAAAAGTTGAGATATGGGTGATTAAATAATAATTGCTCTTCTTGCTTTAATACATGTATTAGAGGTAAGGAACCCCTATTTGTTATTCGAGTAGCTAAGGATGAATAAGTGATTCTAAGACTTAAAAAAGCAGCACGTTTCTGTGTAAGTATGGAGGATATTTTTTAAAACTTGTGTAAATCAATTACATAAGTTAGTTGAATATTAATGGTCTTATTACTAAAAGATACTGTTTCAAGTATAATTGACAAATAAATTTTAACTTTTATTCTTGCAGCATGAACTATACATATAATATATACACATATATATTATTTTTTAGTAAATTAAAATGAGATGGGTTGAAGTTTGTTAAATTGAATGGGCTTAGAGCTTGCTAAATTAATGTTTTGTCAAATTATTTAAATTGATTCAATGCTGCTTTAAACTTTTTCTAAAGTTCTCTGATTTTCTCAAGTTTGCCAGTTAAGTTTTTGCTGGTTTGACTCTTGAGGAATATCTTGTCAGTATGCCTCCCTTGCATCTAAGTAGGGTACGTATATAAAGCCTTGAAAGCCCCCTTTGAGGGACTCAGTGAGAGGATTCTGGGGCCTTACAACCACCACATCTTTAATTTGAAAAATTTCCTGGATACTTTTACTTTGAAGATCACAGGAATGCATGGATTAGATTCTCATCATTGTGTGAAGCCAGCAATGAATAGTAGACAACAATTCATTTTAACCATTTTAATTTTTAACCAGTCCTAAAAGTCTTCTACTTTCCCCTAACCACCTACCAATTAATTTGCCTAACACTTGCTGGCTCTGGGACAACACTCTCATAACACCCCCTTACCTAACTCCGTCATTAACTAGGTTAGGGGGGCATTTCCCTTGTAAATGAGTCCTCTAAGCATTTTCACTTTTTTTTCTTCCCCTCTCAAAAGAAAGACCATGCTTTTTAAATTTCATATGCAACTGACAGTATTTTTTCTTGAAATATGAAAAGAAGGAAATAATAAATATCATTCCAACATCACTGTGAACTGGTAAAAATACGTTTGCCTGCACAGACATAACTATTCAGGGAAAGCTTTAGCATGTGTCAAAGAAATGCTGCTCCACTTTATAAACTGATGGTTCTGACACAGTTCAAGTATTGCCCATGATTTTGTTTAACTCATCTCAGAAGGGGAACAGTAGAAACAGAATAGGTCCACCATAAATGGGAGGTCAAAATAATCACACACTCATTCAGCTTGAATATTAAGTCTTGAGCACAAGTAAAGCTGAAATTTATGCAGTTCTAGGAAGGATCAAGAAGAACCACCTAAAAATAGGGCTCACTTGAGTCTTACTGAAAGCTTGCTTGAGTAGCCACAAGAAGAGCTAGAATTGTCCTAGTCAGCCAGAAAGTATGAGCAGACACACTTTAGCTATGCTAAAAAAAAAGTCACATAACAACAAGTTGTGTTAAGGATGCTGGTTGCTATGGCAGATACTGGATCAGCTATTATTCCTTATGATCACAGTGGATCTAAACAATCTGTTCGTTTGTAGAGTGGTTGAAATAACAGATCCATGCTCTAACTATTAATTACTGGCATAATGTTGCTTCTAGATAAGAATTTCTTTACCAGAATGGCAATTTTCAAATTAGGAAAGATGACAACAACTAGGGAATTTATTAAATAAAATAAAAAAAGATGATATGACAAGATTCTGAAATACAGAGAAGGACAGAGGAGGCATACACAATTTCTTTCTAACATCTATAAAGAGACCAAAAGGAAAATAAAATGTGTTTTAAGGGAATGGTGAATATGAAATGTCCACACAAAGTGTTTCCCCTGAAAATCACAGCAGTCCTCTGCTCCCTTTGGCTCACATTGATAATAATAACATGAAGTTCAAGAACCAGTTTTAGTCTAAGAGTTTCTATGACAGCCTCTTTTAAAAGGAAAATTAACTTCATTTTAATGAAGGACACGAGATAGCAATCAACAGGAGAACCATCAAAAAACCCCAAATTAATACTGTATTGTCTTTGACATTCAACACAAGTTAGTGAAGTTTCACATTCTGTCTGGCAACAGGTAACAATGGACATCAAGAAGAGAATTGAATAACAAATTTTTGCTGGCGTGATTTTTTGTGCAATTAAACTTCCGGAAAAGAACAAGTTGGGTAGGGAAAGAAGTAACCTTAACTGAATTAAGACTGAAGACTCAAAACAGACTGCACAAGTATTTTATATATGAAAGTGAAGGAAGAATTTAATGTTTAAGACAAACTGCTAGTGATAAATAGAGAAAATGGGACAAAAACCCCAAAACCTTTATGACATGCAAATTCACACTTTTGAAGTTTTCACACCCAAGTTTCTAGATAGAGGAACAGTCCACTTCAAAGATGACTAATAGGATCTTATTAGGTATCATCAGGAGGATTCAGAATTAAGAATGTCTAAAGTTTAGTCTTACAACATGTAAGTCTTCCAGTTTTCACAAGTATTATTTCACAAAGCAAATATTATTTCGAATATTTCACAAGGCAAATATTAACAAAAAACAACAAACAAACAAAAAATAAGCCCTAAAAAATTCCATCTAAATTTTTTCTGAATTAAAGAAATTGCTGTTTCTGAATTAAGCAGTTATATTTTATAAGTGAAAAGGCAATAAAACGTGAGAATAAGTTTCATTAATTAAAAACCATTAAGGAAACACTTTCTCTTTATAGCTACACTTGTCATGTCCCCAACTGAATTTAAGATACTTTGCAACTTCAGTAAACATAGCCTAAATTTTGTGTTGAAATTTCCCTGAGCAGTATAGGTTTGCAAAAGTTACTAATTTTTTTCCAAAGCATTATTTAAATGCAATATCAATATATTCTGTCTCAGACAGAAAGAACAAATTATACACCTCAAAACAGGAACTGAAAGCCATTTGAGTATGGATCAAATACTATAGAAAAAATGCTGCTCCGTTTTAACACTGCGTATTTAAAAAGAAATGCAGAGTTTGTTTTATAAACTTCACCAGTAAAATCCTTTTGCATTCACCATTACAAAGTCAAAAATACAAAAGGAAAATGTGATTATTTGCCAAAATCTCGTTACCTGTGTGTCAGCAGCACCCTGAAGACCGTCTGATTCAGTCCCAAATAACCTGGCAGCAAGCTTGACCAATCCCAGTTCCATTCAGTAATGGCTGACTGTTGATACATGGCAAGATGCTAGTTAGTTATTAATCAGCATTAATATAATTAGTACATCAAAGCGCCAGCTGTGATATACTAACCAAGGAGGGTGGTCTAGAATGAAGACTTAGAAAGATGATATCAATCATGTCCACAGAAGAAGGTTTCTATTCCTTCTTAAAACAGTGGTTAATTAATTAGAGACATAGCCACTAATAAAAAGATAAATCAGTTTTTTGAACCATTATTCTTCCAATTGTTGATGACATTGTGATCAGCTACTTTGTCTGAGAAGCAGACAAAGCAAAATAGTTGGTAACTTTTTATGTAACAGCAATTTGCATTTTCTGCTGTCAGCAAAACGTTTTGTCATGAAAAATTTGGTATAGCTGGAATTCAAGAAATAACCTGTAACATAATTAGAGTGATTTAATGCTGCATTATAAACATCATTAAATCTAGACAACATGAACAAATATAACTCCATATTGCTTATTTGATAAACAAAAGTAATATATATCATCAGTGGGCAGACAAAAGACCATCCCTAACATTATTATTTTTAAACAACTGTAAATCCTGTTTCATAATATTCCTTTTCATTGTCAGCAATGGTGAAGTAGTGACTATGATTCAATCTTCTTGGGGCGAAATAAGTACAAAGTTATTTTTGGAACACTAAAAGAGCACTGAGTAGTTAAAAACATGTTTAAGCAAGTCAAAACAATGGCAATAAACCTAAATAACAGTAAAGTATAACGTGGAGTGCATCTTTTTCTTCTCACAGACAGCATTTGGTTCCTCTGGGAGAGCAGAATCGCTTCAATCCCTCCTATTCCTTCCATCTATATTTTATCATTTGCCTTCTCCTTATTTAATTTACTCCCTAACCCTCATCTCTGCCATGCATGTTAAAGTAAAGTAGAAAAACAAATGCGAAATACAGAGCACGAAAAGGAAAAAAGGGTAAGAAAAAAGTAAAATACTGAGAAAGTAGAAAGTGAATGAATATGAAAAGGTTCCTTGCCAGTGCTCCAGCGTCTTCTACAGGCACTAGTAACGATTTACATTATTGACCCTAGACACTTAGCTATACTGATCACCGTTTTATAAATGGACAGTCCCACACCACTAAATAAATGTGCAATTTTATGGTAAAGGGAGCTGAGCTATTTAATAACATCATTAGCTTGGAAAAAGAAACAGAGAAGAAAATTACAGAATGACTGGGGTTTAAAGGGACCTGAAAGATCACGTTGTTCCAACTTCTTTGCCATGGGCAAGGCATGCCTTTCACTAGACCAGGTTTCTCAGAGCTCTGCCCAGTAGCCTGGAATGTTTTAAATGGATGGGGCAACCACAACTTCTCTGGCCAACCTGTTCCAGTGCCTTGTCACCCTCACAGGAAATAATTTCTTTCTAATTTCTAATCTAAAGCTACTCTCTGTCAGTTTGAATCCATTCCCTTTTGTCCTGTCATTACATGCTCATGTAAAATGTCCTTCTTCATCTTTCTTGTAAGCTTTCTTCAAGTACTGCAAGGCTGCAATTAGGTCACCCCAAAGTCATGTCTTTTCCAGGCTAAACAACTGCAATTCTCTTGGCCTTTCTTCATAGAAGTGCTCCATCCCTCTAGTGATAATTCTGGTGTCCCTCTGGACTGGCTCCAACACCTCCATGTCTTTCCTGTGCTGGGGACCCCAGAGCTGGATGCAGCACTGCAGGTGGGGTCTCACCAGAATGGAGTAGAGGAACAGAATCAACTCCCTGAACTTGCTGGTCATGCTCCTTTTGATGCAGCCCATGACAAGTTGGTTTTCTGGGCTGAATATGAGGAAGAATTTCTTTACTGCCTAGGTGACCAAGCACTGGAACAGACTCCCTAGAGAGGCTGTTAAGTCTCCCTCACTGGAGATACTCAAGAACCATCAGTACCAATTCTCTGCCCATGTGCTCTGGGATGACCCAGAAAGCCCAGATGAGCAGAAAGGTTGGACCAAATGACCCAGTGTGGTCCCTTCCAATCTCACCCATTCTGTGGTTCTGTGATTCTTGATTGGAAGGTCCCCTCCAATTCAAGCTATTCTATGATTCTATTGATTCAAAGATTCAATAAAGCATGTTTCTCTGCAGTGGGAAGCCTTGTGGAATTGTTATTTGTCTCCTTTTTCAGGATAATTAACACTTTTTATTGCAACATGACAATGATTAAGTATTCATTAAACAAGTAAGAAAAGCAAGTATATTTTACAGCAATATAACTGATGAAATAGACCAAAATAGTCAAACATGGGCTAGGAGATTACACCATGTATAAGCAGGGATGCACTGAAAAAGGATGAATTTCTGCACAAGTCTGTAAAGTGAATTTCGTGTCACTGTAATACCACTTCTTTTCAAATATTTTAATTGAATGCTGTAATCAAAAATGCCAATGACATATTAAGAATACATGAGAAACAATGGCATAAGATTTTTTTTAACTATCAGAGTGGGATCAGAAACTATTTAGCATTTTGTGTAATGAATTGATCATGAGGTGCTCCAGCAGAGATTTAGGCAACCAGATCTCTTTTCTTTAACTGTTCCGTTATCAGTAAACTAAATTCTGTAAGTAAATTATAATCCCTTATATATAAGCACGACTTAAAGAAAAGCAGAGAAATGGACGCTTTTTTTTCTTTCTGTTTTTTTTTTTTTTGTGTTTTGCCCCTGCTTAGTCTCACTGTTCTGTCAAATCTTTGTAAGTTTAAAGCATTCTTTACTTAACTGTTCAACATATCTGTGAAAGATCCATGAGAAATATTCTAAATGTGAACTTAAGAGTTCTGACATGATTTTTCAAATGACTAAGACCTGTGTACTATTGCACAGATGTAATAAATGTCATTGCTACAATGGGCTTTCCCTCAGTATACTGAACACAGAAAGTGTAAGTAAATGCAAATTGCTCTTACATGCAATAATTCCAATAAAAGAAAAGGACAGAAATGGCTTTTTGAACATCATGATATTTTAGAGGGTACCCTCATTAGACTCCCAAGAAATAATATTCGTTTCTGCTTCATCAAATGTGAACACAAATAATTCCATTTTCATATATTTAGATTTTGTCATTATCATGATCATACTAAGACCAACAAGTAAAAATTATACTATAACCAAGGTTTCAGATTTTCACAAACCTGATTGAATACTTTTGCACAAGATTTTCTGTACACTTGGAATGGGTTGAAGACAGGCTGCTCTTCTCTGCCTTTCAGCGTCAAAGGCAGGCATTGACTCAAGATAACACCATCTTCAGAAGAATTCTCACAAGACAGCTGCTCTTTCAAATATTCCTTTTGGAAGAAAAAGCAACCACAGAATCGTACAGGCCACCTACATTTATAAGTGAAATTTAGTGTAACTGCCTACATTTCAAGCCTAGGTTTACAGAACACTCTATCGAACAGTCAGAAATTAACAACCTCTTAAAAATAGAAACCTTTTCAGGAATATCACCATTTTACAATGAGTAAGAAATAACCTCGGAAAACATGCACTCAACTTAAGCAAAACAGAACAATCTAACCTATTGTTTTGAAATTGTCAAACTATGTGTATAAGTTCTCATTTTTTATATATATATATATATATATATTTGCTATGTATGCGTAGAAGTGAACAACAATTGTTTTTCATGTCTTTTGAATGAAAACTTTTGGAAAACAGTTAAAAATTACTAGTTAATTTTTGGAACTTTTGGAATTTTTGGAAAACTAGTTAAAAATTACTAAAAATGACTATAAATCGATTCTTTGAATAACATGTTCTAACCATGTTATTAAAACACAGGAAATAAATATTCTCCCACTCTCCAAAGCTATTTTTAGCTGCTTAAGCATTCAAGAACTAGAAGTAGTATGATTTGCATTGCAATTTTAGAAACTGTACTGTAACAAATGCATTATTATTTTGGACACAATCTTTTCTGTTTTTACTTCTTTGACTACTCTCTAATCATTACAGGCCTATAAAGTGTTTTGATAATATAGAACCATTTTATGAAGAATTAGATAATAAAACATTTACACATCCATTTGCTGGAAAGACTACTGTGATTAAACAGTTTATTGTTATTAAAATGAAGTCCATAACATGGAGCAAGTACTCAAGGTGAGTCATTAGGATGCGTGGATGCAAAAGCTCCTCTTATTCGCAGTACTACTGAGATGGAATAACATGCAAACTACCTGCCAAGGCATCCTGTGTCTCTCAGTAGGTCTTTCTAAAAGAAGAACTTCACAATGTGTCTAAAATTGCCCAACTATGGCCTGACCTGAAAGGCACAAGATCACTTTCTCTCGTGTGCTGGCACTAGCATATGTTGTGAAACCAAGAAGGAGAAAAATAAAGTTTTATACAGATAAACAACCCATATGATTTCTAGTACTAGTACAAAGCGGGGACCTATGAGTGAAAAAGCACGAGGGCAAAAGAAAGAGAAGGACTGTCTCTCTGCTGGTTGCAGTCAAATGTCATGTCTGACCAAGAGAATCACAAAATTGTCTCAGTGTATGAAAAAAGACCCCAACCAATCAAAAGAAGAAAAATAAATTGAGCTTTTTATTGCTTAAAACATCACAAACCAACTGTGAAAACATACCCTCTTTTAGCTATTTTTACTCAGCTTCTTAAAAATATCTGGATTTTTATTTCCTCCTTCATTCATTCATTCATTCATTCATTCATTCATTCTTGCATTCATTCTGTTATGTTGTAACAAAGATTTCACAGCCAAAGTGAAGGAGGCTATTTAAAAGATATTCTGTACATCTACCAAATTTTCATAAATGTACTGCCTTCCATGTACACGTTTGTACAAAATCTGTACACTAAAGCAACCCAGCCCTCTGGATGTAACAGAGCCAGCAGAAGCAGATTGTGTTATTGTGTTGCTTTTTCAGAAGCAATACTGGAAATAGCTGTCCATGTGTTGCCAGATGAAGAACTATTTGTTCAGCTGGTGTGAAAATACAGTGCTTATTTTACAAAGCCAGTAGTCTACAGGACAGCAGAATACATATTCTGTAGGACCATGTTAACCATTAACAAAATAATGAACCAGCCTGGGTATACCATCTCAGCTCCCTTTTTGGACAGCAACACCAGTTCACGGAACAGGTAACTTTGGGGTATGGGACCATCAGAGACCACCAGGGGGACCCCCGGCACAGATGAACGCATGTGCAAAAGGTGGGGGAACATGTTACATCTCCAGGAAATTATTATTATTATATGTATGTTCATTCTTGTAAAATCATTGAATATGTATGTAAAATACAGTATATAAAGCAGGAGCTTTTCTGTACTTGATGTGCAAAATTTTGGTGGAGATAACCCTGCAGCATCTGTCACTGTAATAAAGAGTGCTGGCTTCTTAATACTACAGTGGTGTTAGGGAGGAGGTTTTGACCAATTTTGGTAACACCTGCTTGCCTGTGTTCGAAAAAGTCAAGTGGTATATAGCTGACCTCAGTAAAGGTATTTTTCTGTCGTTAATAAAATACTGTGGATTTAGTTTGATTAAGACACTTATTCAACAATGGTAAATATATTAAGATCTCCTTTAGTATAGTTAAATACTGTAGGCTCTGAAAGGGTCACGTTTCAAAAATGTGAAAATACGAAATCACATCTGTAAGCATGTGGACTACATCCTCACTACACTGACTGGACATCAAACCAAGTATATAGAATATTATTGAGCCTGACAGCTCAGAAGAGTTATCTCTTTGGTTGTCATTACTAAAAAATTATTTTTAAAATTATTATTTTTGGCAAACACAGGAAGGGCTGTAAGCTGTTTTGAATACTACAGTATCTATTAAAAATTTTTATAAAATCCTATCTCTATTTTCAAATCCAGCTTCCAAGAATCAATATCCCTTTTCACCTGCTTTTCTAAGGAATATTACTTAGAACAACAATTTTCTGTCTCATCATTTTGTTTTTACATTTTACATTTTAAGCAGTGTAGCATTATGATCTCTAAGCTAATTTTAAGGACACAATCCCTTGACATTCCAAGGAGTCTTTAAACAAAAGAATGGACCTTTGAATAGACAATCAAATCTATTTATTGGTAACCAGGTTAATATAACATAATACAGATTTTGAAAAATAATATTGAAAAGTGTGCTAAGCAGTAAAACGTTTTGTAATGGTTTCAAAGGCAATTGAAAATAATAGAGTCAAATCCTTCTGTAACTCAAGCCGCTCAGGATCTCTCTTCTTCTTTAAAACAATTTAAAAAAAACCCAAACAAACAGTTTTTTACACTGTCTTTAAAACAGTTTTTTCCACTGAGAAATGTTCTATTTTTAAGAAAGGTCTTTTTAACTGCAGAAATTCCAGAAGAGACATGTGGGATATGGAAAATCAGGCTGAAGTCCCTCTTCCACCTAATTCTCTTAGCCTCGTACCTCCTATTGGAGCTGTTCCACTTTGTATAAATAACCGAATACTCACAGGAGTCAGATGTTAGATCAGGGTCTCCAGAACCCAGCATGCGCCTTCTATTCTTTCAACTGGAGTATAATTCTATTTTTGACCCTAAAAGTTACAGAATGCATTTTTACCACTGTTTCTACAAGGCAAAACAACTCCAACAGGGGAAGAAGGAGTTCCATGCTGATAGCTAATGGTATGGAGGTTTGGGGAATTAGTTCAGATGTGGGAGATGCAGATTCAATTCCCTGGAATAAATCAGGAAGTATAAAGATTGTGAGCCTGGATATGCTGTCCCCTAGGTAACTGTTCTAACTACTGGACTATATGCTATTTTTGGTGGCCTTTTCCTCACTCCTTTACACCTAAGAGTAATTTTGAACGTGCTCCAGGGGAAAAGGTTTTGCTTATTACAGTAGTAATTTTCACTTCACTTCCAAAACCAGTTAATTGTTCAGGAAATTGAAACTTGAAAATATTCTGTACAATACTAATGTTAGGTTGCCATCTCTGCATATATGCTTACATGGCTTCTAATGCTTCCAAAGGTAGATTCATAAGGGTTGTTTTCAAGCCTGTACTTATGAACTAAACAGTTGGATCAGATTTTCAGAAGCATAGCAACAGTACTAAGGTGCTCTCTATGGCCTTCCTACAGACACAGCTGTCTAGTCAAGGTTTTCTGCTACCAGATTTTCAGAGAAAAATCCTGGTCTCTGCCTGTATTTTGTATATCTGTATATTTGTATTTGTATATTTGTATATATTTGTATATTTGGATTATTTTGTATTTTATCATAAAATAATAATACGTACACGTGCAAGGATCTTAACAGCACCTGCTTATACATTGAAGGAATTTAGGAATTACAGCTAAAACCAGAACTTTCTAAATGAAGTTGGGTAGATCTGCATTACTGTACAATTTAAACAATCCTATATTTATTTCAGTGAATGAAAAATCTGAATGCTTTTAGTAACTTGGGGCAATTTAGTACAGCCTTAGAAATAATGTGATAATTCTTTTACTTTGCCAAAATTCCATTTGCAGCAAATAAATCTGAAAGTGTTTCTTGTAATTGTAAAAGTATTTTAGCTGAACAGAGTTGTCTGAATTGAATAAGATTTCATGTGGATGCATTTACTTCCTCAGCCACAGGGGTTGCTTGTTTGTTTAAATCAAGAGAGTTAACTAACCACATCTAATTTTACTTTTTGTAACAGTAAATTTTTCAATAGTCTCCGTTGATTTTTTTTTTTTAAACTGTGCTCAAGACTCCTAAAACGTATCTATGGTCTACAACATGAAAAGAAGGAAGTTTATGAGCCGTATGACTATCTAAGTACCTAAATAAAATATACAATGTTTCCTATAAAGTAATGCAATCGTTTCTGTAGAAATCCAAAAAGCCTAAGCTGAATGGATTCTATTGAAATATAATATAGGATTCTATATTGACTTTAAGAACTATTATCACCTCCTTGACTAACCCTTAGCTGCCAGCAGATGTTGCCGCAGACCAGTACACACCTAATTGCTCTGTAGAAAGGCCGTTTTCCTACCTCATTGAGCCGGATGATGTGATAAATTTGCCTCAGGTACTCGCTACCACCTGGTTTGTGGCAGATATCCAGGACCATCATGCTTATATTACGTTCAGTGAATTCAAGTCCAATACTTCCTTCCTCTAACGTTGCACCTTTAACTGTGACTGAGGCACTAGAATACAGAAAAGATACAGTTCTAAGTTAAATTTCTAAAAACCAAAATATTAGTACTAACTCAGCTAGAACTACGCTTGACTTACACAAATGCTGTTGTACATATAGCTTTCACATAATACGTTACATAACATTATTATATTAATTTTAATCACCTTAATCGGAAAGATGAACACATAAAACACTCCTTACTCTAAGGATATAGAACTAGCAAATATTTTCATTTCCCGTAGAGAAGTATCTTTGCTACCAGAAATGGCATTTACATTCGATCTCTTGTGCATTTTTCGTTGCCTGTCACAGCACATATTAAAGCCTAATTAACATGTCAGAAAGGTAGCCATTACTCTAAGTATAGGTTAGAAGTTTTAAATTGAAGTAGTTTTCTTTCCACTGGTATATTGTTAACCATTTAAAAGGTACCTATTTGCCACTTGTTGCATTTTTTTGCCCTATATTTGTTTTTTGTATTTGTGTGAAACTTCTACCAATGAAAATCTGAAGGTGAAATTCCCAAATGCCTCCAGAATTGCGCATTCAAATCTCTGATCATTGTCAGACTCTCTGTACGCTAACACAAGTTACTATATTAAGTATTGCTACTGATAAAGTCAAAGAAAGAAAAAGTACTATAATTTTCCATAAATACTAGAGCTGCAACACAGGTATTTGACATGTATATGTCAAGAACCTGAAAGATAAATGAGAATATATTGTCCTACAGACACTATTGAATTAATTTGAAATAAACCAAAAAAGCATTCTCAATTAATAAAAAAAAAATCAATATTTTATTTGTTTAGAAGTAAAACGAAAAACAAAACATCAAAAAACCTCCAAAAACCTGAAAACAAAAGAACAGAGGTTGTAGTTTACTGTTGAAAGTGTGCCATGGTTACAGAATCAGTCCTTCTGAAAGTTGCTGTTTGACCTACAGACTCTCTGAAATGCTGCACAGCTGCTGGACATTAAAACTGATACTGCTTCCACATGCAGTTTCAGAATTTCCTACCGAGCAAATAGTTACAAAATACAAACTATAATTTTGTTCTTTGCTGAATGTAAGTAAGTGATACTATGTTATTATGGTGTACTTTACAGAAAAACTTCAAAGAAATTGATCTTTAAATTAAAGCACACTTAAGGCTGATATTTGATGCCATGTACAGATATAACCTGAATTTCTTGTCAAAATTCTTAGCAACTAACATTGAAAAAGCTAAGGACCTCCGACAAAGGAATGTATCAGTGCCAGCACCCAAATTGTATTCTTTACTGCCCGTTACTGTGCAGGTGAAGCAGATGATTGGATTCAGGCAGCACTATGATTAATGACTTCCTTTCTGGATTTGGGACTGCCTATCAATCATGTCATTAGCAAGAATGTACCCTGAGAGAGGCAGACCTCAGCCAAGGAACAACTGCATTCATCTTAATCTGTATATGCACCCAGCCAGCAAGGTCAGGGTCACCATGATGAAAAACAATAATCTTCAATTCAACAAATTACTTTGCAAAGACAGACATTTCTTTTCTTCTTGGACGTGTGTTTTTTAGAATCTAACGTGACTGTATACAGCTCTGGTGCTGCCATAAAGTGAAGGTTATTTTAATGAATAGTAATACTTTAAGGTAGTACACAAGAAAGGCAGAGTGTAACTGCCGTTTCCTGAGCCTTTCAATGAAGGCTATAGTTTTTGAAATATTCTTTAAAATTAGGTTAATATATATTATTTAGACTTTTTATGTAAGTAGAAATCCTGATAATAATAGCATAACACAAAATCAAGCAAGAATTTTAATTATAAAAACCCACTGCACTTCAAAGACGTTTATATGGCTGTGTAGGTGAGTCCCAAATAAATTTTTGAAATGTACAGGTCTTTGTTTCTTTCATATGTATCTATTAGAAGTCTATAAATATTCACAAATATGAATACATATATGCACATGCATTCAGCTAAATCAGAAAATAATTTTTTTAATGAATGGTTACATATACATACATAACTCCAACTTAGTATATAGTATATAATTACAATATAGTAATTTCATTCATTAAAATCTCCTCTTGAAAGATTGCTTTTAGTTTAGCAATTAAATGGCGACTACGTACTTTAATTGAATATTTGAATTTCAGCTCTAATATATTAGTTTTGTAATTTGCATTTATAATAACATCTCTAGATTTCATATCTCAGGTATTCATAAACGGGATCTCTTTTTTCCCCAGATATTGACTCATAATATTTGAATGAAAACTGGAAAAACAACATTCATATTAGATTTCTAATGCAGAAATGAAACTGAAGACAGGGGAGTCAATTTCATAACTGCATCAAATAGCTACTCACTTGGAGAGTAGGTAATGTATTCTTCATTATCCTAAGCTTAAAATTACCAGGTCTAGTCACAAGCTAGTTCTCTCTTTGGTTGACAGGGTACACATACAGAAACATTTTCCCATATTTACTTTCCACAACCTGATACCTAATTTATAACACAGCATTTTTGTAGTATTTTGCAAAAGAAAATACAGTAGTATATTAACTTAAATTTCTCAGCTTCAGAAGATCAGCAAATTAACTAAAGTTTTAGTTTTTAGAGGTTATCCACAATATTGTCTTCCTATTCTTTTATTTTTAAGAAGTTCCTATTCTCTCAGCAACATTAGAAAATGTAGTATGGTACCATTGTGTCAATTGTATCAATTTACAAATCATCATTATTTTTTTTATTCCACAACTCCTTTACTCATTGGCATCTGGCTTCAATGTTTTACTCCTTGGATTAAATCCTGTAAATTAGAATTAAATGGAAATGTGACGGTAACAAAGGTCAGTGTCAATGAGCGTTTTTGTGACACTAGTACTGCTTACTGCTACCCATATTAACTGACTACTCATAGGAACAGGACACTGTTCCATAAGCACTGCATGAAAACCTTTTCACTGGTGTCACTGACTCCAACTTACAATCACTGTATCTTTTGTTTATATGGACAAATCCTGACATGACAGCAACAACTGCAACCTTCATGAATACTCATTGAAAAAAACCAGCAATCTTACTTTCGGCAGTTACCATTTAATCCAGTAAATCATGTAATTCCAACATATGTAATATTGCAAAGTTGATCAATGGTACTTTTACAGAATGATACATGACTGCAACATTTAAAGAGACTGGACTACAAACACACTGACATGTACACAACTCCTTGAAAAATCACTGTAAAGATCTTAATGTCAAATCTGAAGGAAAAATTGGAATTTTCTCAGAAAGGCACAGCAGGATATTATTCTTGTCCTACGTTTTGATATACCCTATTTGCCTCAGGGTTTGATATGTTTTAGGATAAAGTATGCTTACTTTTTATTTACAGATGAGCACTGAAAGCTTCTCACAGTTCCTCTTAATTTAATCACCAGATTAAAATTAAATTATAAATATATTTAGTAAATGTTCACATTTTGAAAGATATAACAATAGACTTGTCCACATTTTTGGCTCATCATGAAATCTCATCTATGAACACACAGTTCTGATGAAACAACCATGTTTTAGTGCTTCAGCAATGAAGTCAAATTACAAACCCATAGTATAAACCCATCAATATAAGGACTAATTTGTTTCATATAAGATCTCTGCTATCTCTTTTGATTAAAATTAAGCAGTAGCCATAAACATGCCAATAATCCAGTAAAATAAAGAGCAAATAATAGCATTTGAAAAATACTATCTTCTTACCAGTCTATGCTCAATTTTCTTGCCTTCAGCAACTGGCTTTCAATCCAGTTTGGTCTTTTCTGTTCAATGCTTTGTATAATCTTCTGGGTCACTTGCTTAGGACCACTTTTCTGTTTTCCCATAATACTTTCCAAGCACACACGAACTAAACTGAGTTTTTCTTTGCTCCATCTGTCAAGTGTTGCACCTGTTAAAAATTCTGCAGTATTTCCATCCTCAAATATTCGACATATAATTACAATTAAGTTCCAGACAAGGAGACCAGCTTTCTTCAATTCAGCAAAGTTTCTTGACATTTTTCTCTCAGCCAGGAAAAAGAAGTATTTAATTGGGGGAGGCAAACATGCAATCACTGTAGGTAACTTGCTGATTACAATAGATACTGCTTGAGCTGCAAGCCTTGTGAAGCCTTAAAAATAGAAAGAAAAGAGGATATTATTAACATTAACAGTACAGTTCTAACTGTTTCTGAATGTTGTATGATAATTTCTAATTTTCATACTGAAAATGGGTAAAAAGCTCAAGTATTCAACACTGTAGTTTCATTTGTATTATGCTTTCTGCACATAAATCCCACAAAAACTAAACAATTACATGAATTAAAAGCAGAAAACTTAGACTGTGACTCTCTTAGCAATTAGTCCTGCTGTGCACAGTCATTACAGGATTCATGAGAAAGACAGTACTCAGGTATTCTGAATGGTAAAAAGTTGTCTTCAAAACTGTAGTATTTTTTCAACTTCAAAGCTGAAGCATTGCACTTACATACATTTATAATCTCTAGTTTTTTATCAACCCCTTTCTTTGTTCAAAATGACAAAACTTCAGTTTATCATCTTTCATATAAGCATCTAGATATCACTGCATTTTAAAGAACCCATTTAAAAAGTAGCTATAAAAATAACTACAAAGAAATTATGCTGCTCAAAACACAAGATATACCTAAAATGAAAAATATAGGAAGAGGTGTCAAGATTTAAAAAAGCACCAATCTGCAAACAATCTCCAAATTTAAGAAAACCCTGTGTCATTCACCTGCATTCCAAATGTTTTTATTTTATTAAAAAAAGAAACCATATCTGTTCTAGATATCACACATAAAAATTTAAATTGTCTTGAAGCCTGTAGTCTTACCTCTCAGCTTGCATATCAGTTCACACATAGCAATTAGCCTAAAATAGCCATACAAAAGTTCTAGATTAAAATAAGAGTGCAGTGAAGATGTATGAAAAAAGAGAATGGATTTATGCCCTGGCTCAGCCACAATCCACATACTCAAAACTCAGTGCCACAATATACTAGAGTATTGAAAACAATCAGGTAATATTTTGGTGGCAATAATTTATCATGAAATGTTTCCAAAAGTTTTCCTTCTGAGCCATGATGTGAAATGACAGATGCTTTAGGCACTGTGGGTTACGAAAATGCCAGAAATCAGCTTTACATCTAATCACCTTTAAAACACCTCGTGTTCTGTATGATTTCTTTCTTTCTTTACGTTTCAACAACCAAGCAGTAGCATATTCCATAACAGTTTCAGTGCTTTTTTTATTCAAGCATAAATTGCTGTGTTGTAAAGTTGGGATGAATGACAATCCTGAATGAAAAGATGATAATGAAAAGGAAAACTGTTTACAGCCATTGAGGCCAAAGTATAGGCATTATTCTTCATTTTGTTTTGAATCCCATCTGACTACTGCCAGATGCTGAAAACATCTTCAGTACTATTATTATCAATACTACAATACTGATTATTTTGAAAACCTTGTTTGTATATCTATGGGTGTAAGGCTCAAGAAAGAATAATTGAATTTTAATGCAAAGTACTTAAAAAATCCCCAAATCACCACGAGATGTTTGGAAATAGTTTGTTCATTATCAAGCTACAATACACAAAATTTAACTGCCCAGTTTTGGAGTAAAGGAGTAACGGATTTAAAAGCTCTTACGAGAAGGTTATAGGATGTGTTCTATACATATATAAATATTATGTATAAATTTCACCTACATTTCCCAGATTCTTTTCTCTTCATTTCCCGAGGAGTATAATTCCATTCCTTTGGAACAGTTTTCAGTAAACTTTCAGGAACTATTTGCTTGTGCTGGTATGTTCCATAGTTTTCTGTTGCCTCCCATGAATGCATCAAAGAAATTATCTGTTTCACTATACCCTTGACTGAATTAATCAAAGTCAACTTCAAGCATCTGATCACTTCTGGCTCCGACTCACCACAACTGGAAACTTCAGAAGGAAAAATTATTAACTATTCAGTAAGTGTAGTCAGATGTGTAGATCTTTTTCAGAAAGTGTTTTCAGAATTCTTATGGAAAAAGAAGGTAACATTATGATTCATAATAAATTAGACATATTGATCTGTTACAAATTAAGAAAGTGTATAATGCAAAATATATAGCATCTTGGTACCATCTTAATACAGAACTGACAAAAAGAAATCAACTTATTTCCTTCATTCTCATTTCTCTACTGATATATTTATAAAAATTCTATTTAAGCTGATTGATGTTTTCCCTCTTATATGGTATATTTCTATATATTCCTTTTTATATGGTACATTTAAGTACCTGTTAGGTATCAATGAGGTAAACAGATATACCTTTTTTTCTACTTCCTTGTTTTGATAGTATTAATGAAGTTGCATTCATTAGATACCCAAACTGCTATTCTACACACAGTAAAGGAAAAAAAAGATGAAATTTTTGGAAACAAAAATACATACAAATAATAGTCATCAACAGAAACACAGCTTGTCATCAGAGATTGCATGTTCAAAACACACCATCCTAAATATAGTTATTGACATTACAAGTATCAATCTTCTCCACATTCTTAACAGTACTGCAAACTGCACTTTCTCCATTGTCATGGAGCTGCAATTGTCAGGCATAGTGCTGCAGAGCATATCAGAGATGTCTTTTGACAAGTTAGGTCTTTAGATCCTTTGCTCATACTTTTGCTTCCCTCTACTTTTTGCTGACCTTTGCTGACATGGCCTTTCTGGAAGCTTCTGTGAACCACTTCTCTGTTTATCTTACACGCTAAACTTCTACTTTTAGCAATCCCATTTTTCTCTGAGAAGTACCTGAGTGCTTTTATCATTGTTTTCTATTTTGTGATGCTCTTAATTCCCCTCCTGCATTCTCTCATTTTCATCCTCTTCTTTTGAGCCCTCCTGCTTTTAATCCACAATTTTCAGTATCACCCTTCTGAACCTCACATCTCTTTTCTGGTTGAATACTCTTTTTCCTTGGGGATAGAATTAGTTGCTCTAATTGTAAGGGCAGCTCTCCCTCTCAGTAGAAAATTAAGAGGCTGATGCCTGTTGAGAGCAGAGACTATATGCTCATCAGATTTTTCCCCTCAGTAGGGGAAGTCCTTCCTTCTATTCCATGCTTTGTTACTTTTAAATTGTGGCAAAGATCTGGAGCTGTTAAATGCATAGAGATGAAGAATCTCTACACTAGGTAGAGACCTATCTTCTGCAGCCAGTCTGCTGGTAAGACAAACACATAAGGTCATCAGACACCCTGGTCAATAACACTGCTCTGGAACCTCTCCATTCTTCAAAATTTTCAACACTCCTACCATGGCCTGACTGCACAAAACCCTTCAATAATACTATAATTTTGAAGTAAGCTAACATACTTTCAACTGATTTATTATGGTAAAAATAATACTCACTACACGTCTAAAAATAAATAACATTTAAGATCAGATTTGAAATGCTTATTAATAAATTAAATACCTGTCATATTGTATAAGCAGTTCCAGAGCAGCTCTTTTTCCATGTAGGACTCAAAAGCAATGCCAAGAGATTTGGGTGACAAAGTGCAGTAAGACAATACTGTGAAGATAGTTTCAATCAGAGTAGGCTGTTTGTTATTTTCCTGTTCCAAGAGAGAACTTTGTTCATCATAGTTTAATGCTTCCTTTCCTTCAAAATAAACAAAAACATGGTTCCAATAATTTCCAAGTAATTCAAGGTCTCAGTAATAGATAGTATAATTAAAACAAACTGCAAAGTGTATGAATAATATTTCAAACAATAACACTTACAGATACTGAAGTCTGATCTTTCTCTGCCTAATGACAGTTGACTGTCTTCCTGAATTATGCATAGCCAATAAAAAAGAGACTCAAGCATGTTTTCAAACTATGGAATACGCCTATTTAATTCAAAATTAAATTGAAATTGATTGTAATTGGAAATTGATTATTTATTATTTATTATTTCTTTTTATTTATTATTATTTATTTCTTGATTAATCAGAACTAAACTGCACAATCATGGTCAAAAAGGCATTACTGCTTAACTCCTCTTCCCTATATAATAGTCATATAAAATAATAAAATCCTATTTAGATATAAAAAATTATGAAAAGTAGCAACTCAATATTCCCCAAAATGCGCTGGCTTTGTTTTTCAGTGTAACATGAAATTCAGAATAAAACAGTTCCACAAAACAAAATCCCAGCCCTGCTAAGATACAGATTTTAAAGACAAGTAGTGGTTATCACAGAGTTCAGTGATAATTTCTTACAAACATTTACAAATGTTTCTGATAATCATTATAACACAATCTCCCAGCTGAAGGATAAGGATGTGTCTAAAACACCAGGAATCAATGCAATGCAATGACTTTGACTTGTGCTAATGTTGAAGACCTGAGCTTCACATTTGTTGTTAAATATGCTTCCAATGTTAACAACCATGAAAAACGCCCAGAGTCATAACCTGTTAATACTCTTAATTTAAATTTCAGCTTGCACAAACAATGGTTTCTGTAAAAAATATTTAGATAAAATTATACTGTAAAATGTCATTGCTTTCTGCCAGTTTGGTTGTCTTTACCTTTAGCAACCTATGGAAGAGAAAGGCCATAATGGAAAATCATTGCTTTGAATCCATCTTTGAATGATTTGAGAACTAAAAAAATCTCATTTTACTTTCTTCTGAATTCCTACAACCTAATTCATATAATACTGTAAATCATTCAGTCTAGGTAGTATGCAACCTTAGAAACAGAGGATGTAGAAAGCTGAAAAACATGATCAGTGATTTCATAACCCACGAACTGTGTTGTCTCTTTTTTTCCCAAGGCAGCAGACAGATCAGCAAGAAGACAGTTCTTTAATTAGCTTCCTTTTTCCTATGAGCTGAGTGAGCTGACACATATTGTTTTCAATGCCAGATGCTTCTAAGTGAAGAATCAAATTGATTCCACTTATTCACTCAAACCAGAGATATGTATGACAAAGAAATAACCATCAAAGCAGAAAAAGAAGTTCAAATGATGAGATGAAAATATGAACTCTCATTCTATTACTGTAAGTATTTATTTTTAAAATTAATTTAACCAAATTCTAGAGAGAGGTTTGCTAACATTTCAAGTACTATGTAAACAGTCTTTGCAGTACATGATGAGAAATCAATTTGTTTAAAGGTGCTTATGACTTGAAATGAAGCCTAAATTTGTTTTATGACCATGTCACATGGAAAGTTTGAGTCACAACTTACCAATAAATTTTGTAATCAATTAGTACTACCAACAGATTTAGACAGAGAGAAAGGAGCATAAAAGAATTTTGTAGAAAGGGCTACACATACATCTTGTTATAACTACTGTATAATGCAACTCTTGTGTTTTTAAGCAAAGATCTTAATGAATCCACTATTAAATCATTCTGTGGCTAAATGTAACGAGATATGTAATTATTCATCAGCTTTTTCTTGCTTTACCCTGAAGTAAATGCTGTCCTTGTTGTAGGAACAATCTGAAAGCTCAGGTTAAAATGAATTTTCTGATTCATAAGTGGGCATGGATCATAGAATCACAGAATCCTTTGGGTTAGAAGGGACCTTAAAAGATAATGACATTTGAAAAGTTTAGCAAGCAGATTAGTATAGCTGGTTAAATATTATGAATTAGGAGTGTACAGAATGATATGTGCATTTCTCTTGCCTTAGATTTTTTCTTTTACTTTTATTAGCTCACCTGTCATAACATTAAATAATCATCTCAGTTTAAACTCCAATGCAGCCTTCTTGTTAATTATTACATAGAGCAGAATTTATATGATAGGTATTATGCTCACTATCCTGTGATACTTCCCTCTATACATTTCTCCTTTTTTGCACTGACTGCATTTGCATAGCAAAAGCTAATCTGTGAAGGAAACCTAAAGCTCCCACAGGTAGCTCAAAGAAGATGCTTCTTTATTATTTTAGCAAGACTTAGCATTTATAATATGCTAGCTGTTAGTTATTTCCATATAGCATGATGTTCTATGCGCAAAAAAGATACCAAAACATATTAGAATACTGTTGTTTTTAATGAGTATCTCTATAAGAAAATAATGTATTTATTGAATAATAGCTGTGCCCTAACCATTCACAATGAATCATTCTTCCTATGACAAAATAATGCCCTAAACCTCTTGGAATACTACCATGTATTTAAAAAACATAACTTCAGAAAGGCAGACTTACAAGTGCAATTTACCCATATTTCTTTCTTTCAGTAATTTGCCAATATTATCACTCTTTCAGGTGTATCTGTATCTGACTAGTCTAGCCATAAAATTAATCTTGCCAAATACTGACTCTAGACTTCACTCTCCCCAGTTCATCTATACACAACAGCCAAGATATAGTTGGCCATCATGTATAGATACAAGATACAGTATTCTACCTTTTTTAGACCAAAAGAGGTAGACAAAACTCAAATTCATACATGCTGTTTCATTTAGAAAGAGGTATTGAAGATGGAACAAACTATTTCTGATACTGGTCTTTAATTTGCAAAGAGTATAAAACTTCTGCTTTCTTTATTGAATTTAAAGGTTTCTTAAAATCACAGCAACTGATAAGGATATAAAGAATTCAAAAAATATATGCTTTATTTGTTTATAGGATCAAATCCTTCAGCAGGCACTCTGCAGTACACTACATCCTCAGTGCTTCTTCTGTCACCGACTTTTTATCTGTTCCTTTACTGTAGCTGACCTGGTAGATAATTATACTTCTGTTTCAGAGCTACTCTTCCCCAATGACAGCCAAAATCTATTGTAACTCCGAGCATGGCTTCATTTTGACAGAAAGTGTATTATTTTAGTTTTAAATTCTGAGGAGAAATTCTACATCATAGATTCATGGAAGACTCACAGAATACTCTGAGTTGGAAAGGACTCACACAGGTCATCAAGTCCAGCTCTTAAGTAATGGCCCATATGGGGATTAAACCCACAACCTTGTTGCTAACAGCACCATGTTCTAACCAACTAAGCTAATCTCAGGGTCATATTACTCCTATCCTGAATAAAACCCACATCTTAAACCTACCCATTTCAATTTAATACATTCCAAACAATAATAAGCCCTGTATTACCTGCTACCTGTGAATCAAATAAATCCTAAATTCATGACAACTAAAAAGCTCAGCATGGCAAAAAAGCTGTAACAACACTTATATAATCTGCCCATAGACTATTAACATACCAGTAAACTACTTCTGTGGCTATATATGTGATCAGTGCCACAGCATTTTAATTTCATTCAAATCCATTTAGAATTTTTTCTCCCTAAACAATTTATTTTCAACTATTTGAGAAGAAGCTTCCATTAATGAATTTCTGAGTAAGTGGATTCTGTAGAATCTTCTTATCTATGCCCAACAGAAAAAACCCACTATGGTCAGAATACCTCCAGTATTGTTTTTATGGGACAGTACACAGAAAGTGTGACAGCCAAAATTTGAAAAGGCAATATTGAATGTAGTCCTACAGACACATTAGCTCCCTTGTGCTCCTCCATGTATTGAGATAGATACTGAACAGCTTACCTTCTTGAAACTTAGTCTAGAGGTCTGCTGTAACAAGAGGTTCCTATCAGAAATTACTAAGTCTTTGAAAAGATATCCATATGACCTTATATAACAGAAAACAAATCTATCACACATGTATCAGACACTTCGTCAAGAAAAGGTGAATGATTCACAGCTGGAGCCCACTATAGTTCAATTAGGAAAAGCTACTTAGGTTTTCATAAATCCATAAAATCTATTTACTGTTTTCTCTAGCTTATCACTGGAAAATCACCAAATGGAACAGGATACCTGTATTAAGGTCCCTTTTTTACTTATTTTTCAGCTAGAAGTATATCTCTTCAGTACATCTTTCATTAGTTCTGCAGGTACGGAATCCAATAAGCTTACTCGTCAGATGGACCTTTTAAGCAGGTGCCACTTTTAAAGTAATCATCTAACCATGAGGCTACCATGACACAGACTGCTATCATGAAGAGGCTAAGAAAACTTTCAGAGGTACCCACAAGCCTTATATTGGATGATCCACAAATACCTGGAGGAGAGATCTATCTCTGCACAAACATATAAATTACTCTAAGAGATTTACTTCTGCTCTCCTAATGAGAGCAGGGTTACAGATTAACATCCAAGTTTTCTGACCAAAACATGCAAGACTATTTTTCCCCAAAATGGTGTGTGGTTGAGCCATGGGACTAGAAAAATAGCTAGTATTTTCACTTCTCTGACAGATCATGACACAGGATTATTAAAGGAGTCATTAGAAGAAAGTACAACAAAGTACAAGAAAGTATAATGGAAGTACAAGAAGAAAGAATGACCCTCAAGAACTTGAAATAAAAGCGTCAAATTGCTGCAAATTTTAACAATGCCAGAGTTTTGATGGACTCAGTAATTTATGTAAGGCATGTACCTTTTCTTCTGTAATAACTCACTACTGCCACTAACAGTTCAGTCTCCTAAATGAGGTCAATTGGTGAAGTTGCCACTTTTCACTGTTCTTTTAGGGTAATTAAAAAAAACCAGTGGTATTTACTCTTATGTGTCTAACATGTAATTAATTGATTAAAAATTAATTAGTACTTAAAATTTACCGTAAAATGACATATTATATATCATGGTAGCTCGAGAACTGTTTCAAAGAGGGAAAAGAGTTGGAGTGGGGAAAAAAAATCTTCCAGCTCTACAAGTACATTTCCAAGTTCTCTTTCCAGAAAATGGTTAATAAAAGAATGGTCTTAAGAAAACTCTTCATATCTACTAGTGTCTAGAAAGTTGTCTAATGGTGCACCACACAATTATATTTTCTTGGTGGAAATCTTCCCTTCCCCAACCTGCTTATGTATGAAAGGTAACCGATCTCTTAAGCAAAACACATTTATTTGGGTCCAATTTCAGATTTGCAGCCTTAGACTTATTACAGAATATGTGTAAATGTTACTATTAATTCTCATTTCAAAATTTTAGTGGGGCCCAGAATATCATCTAGGTTGAGATGTACAGACTAAACAAAATTATCTTCTAGCAGTGTATTGTGCAAGTCAAAAACATTAGGTGAAACTGCCAATGGTCTGGTCCTGCTGTGAATGCAGTTTTCTTACAGTTTATCTCCACATGTCAATATTCACTTTAAGGTTGCGTGTAGAAAGACAAAATCAATTTCAGTAACAACTGGAGTCTCAAGTTTTTATGGTAATGAATAAGATTCTTTTTAAGATTATCCAGCAACATGTCACATTTTCTATTATTCGTCACCAACTTGATACTACTATCTCTTCTTAAACAAATGCATGAGACTCAAGGACTGACTGAAGATCATGTTCCAGATCATGTTGCAGACAATTTCTCAGTGACAATTTCTTAGTGACCACTGTCTTATCTGCTATTCCTAAGTAGCCAGGTGTCTATTGTCTGATAGGGTCCCCTCTGGTGTTAATCCCTTATAAGGCCAGCACAATCAAATAAAGCTATTGCTGTTTGCTTTATTATGAAAAAAAGCCCTCCTGATTCCTAGAAATAATGATAATCAAACTAGAAGTCACAGACTGTTACTCTGGCATGCTGTATATTTAGAGCAAATCTAGCAGAAATACTCAGAATTCATTTTCATCCTTCATATTTTCATGTCAGAATCTGCTGGTTTCAGCTACTTATTTTACACTGGCACCACTTCCTTTTTTCCTCTACTATTTGTTGCTTGTCAAAATAATCCATTTCTACTTCACATCCAGGAATGATAAGGCAATATTGGTTAAAAGAAAATTTGCCAAGTAAATTGCAAAATAGTTTATTTTGTCAGAGAATTAACACAGTACCAGCTACCTTAACTACTTCTCTCTGCAAAGCCACAGCAGTGACTTTAGACCCTTTACTGACTCAAGAATATGCCTTGAAGGAAGGTGCTGGATGTTGGAACTACAGAAAAAAACCTCTAGGATTATATGGCACTGTAATTCAACGAGCCCAGGTTACTTAGACTCATAGCTTGTTACAGAGGTCCAATATGTAAATCAAAATTTTCAACCATTTTTTCAAAGTTGCATGTACGCAGTAGCCATGCTCACTGAAGACATATAAATGATTCAGCTCTGGGTAACCTGATTTATTGCCTTTAGTATTTTTTGATGCAGTAACTTCATATTTCCATATTTTAGTTTTTATGTACATTTAATATATCATATTGCACGAAAAAATGACAAAAGTGTGCATTTTGTCATCTTCCCATCCAGATAGTATATAATTATAGACATGCAATTTCAACAGCTTCAACAAATATGACATCCTTCTTATATTTAGCAACATGAATCATGCATACAGAGCTTCCCCATAAATACCCTTTGTACTGACAAAATTTTGGCAATCCCAACAGTACTACCTACAATGATGGGGAATATACATTTCTTCTGAACCTCCCCATGGTACAACCATGAGAACAATGTGACTACAATGAAATATAATGTGTTTGAATGATGTCTGCTTCAAGTATCCGAAAGTGTTAAAACAATACAGAAAAATTCATCAATACGTAAGATTTTTTTTCCTTCTGGCCTGTTTTTAAAAGGAAAAGGAAAGACTGAATGTAAAAAATGTGGGAAAGCTTTTCCTTTTAAAAAAATTTGTATGTAATTAAGTACCAAGGAGTTCTGTTATGAATTGGGCAAATTGCTCAAAAACTGTGGTATACTTAGCTATATAGGAGAAGGAATAAAGAATACAAATTTTTTGTCATTAGACAATTAACTCCATTGAAATTAATTTAGATGATATAGATTATCATAGATAACAACTTTATTTAAACTGAAAGTTTATTCATTTCAATATTGAAGTTACATGAATGAAGCCTGTGTAAATAACACATTTTGTAATTCAAAGTAACATGGATTTCCCTAAAGCTTAAGAGGTTGGTTAGTCAGTGGGCTAATACATTCTGTCACTTATTACCTGTAATAATTTAAAGAGATAGTAAAACTCAATACTGGATAACACTAGGGTAAGACCATGACCCTAATCAAACATTTGTCAGCCTTTGTAGAAGATGACGTGTTTGAGCAGGCAAGCTGCAAGTAGCACTGCAGCTCTCAAAAATATGTGTGACAGCATTGGAAGACATTGTACCCCTGACAAGTATTAGACCATTTTAAAATGACAGAACTAAATCATGATGGAAAGACAGATAGATAGTTAGATATAAACATAAATATAAATATATAAAATATTATGTGGACCTACTAGTTTTTTGATAAATAGGAAGAATTCATTTGCCAAAAAAATAAAGAAACCAAGACTCTCATATTCCTGCAAAATTAAGTCAAACAAGTGATTATACCATTAAGCTATTCAACAATATGATCATTTGATCTGCAAACTACTAATGGAAAGATGTGATGAAGTTTGTTGCTTCAAACACAATTTCATCAGAATGCAAATAAAAATTTATGTATTTATGTAATTCGAGAATGCCTACAGTGACAAGCATATAATAACTTCAACAAAACATCTAAGAAGCTTCGGTTCAAGCCACGGTTCAAATGTAATTTTGAAAGTGGTCTTTTAGACTACTGATCTACATGTTTCAAAACCTGTGTACAGTAGCTGTGGTATCAAAGCTCCATTAAATTCATTTTGACTCTTTTGCATTTATAATAGCAGCCCAGTTTATCCAAGTGCAGTTTGCTTTGAAATCATTAATAAACTCTTTGAGTGTAAAGTCTCACTAAAAAAGTGATAATTTTTCTATATTTTACCCATTCAAGAAATGTCCTACTGGTAAGTAAACGGGAACCTAACCCTCAAAATGGTTGACAACCTTCCTCCAGCATTTAAATAGCTAAAAATCAATTTGTGTTTCTCACTGATATTCCTACAAGGATTGACAGTATCAATACTTACTTGAGCTTCTCAGCAAAATTTTCAGTAAGAGACAATCATGGTGTAGCAATGTTTCCAAAAGCAAGTTCAAATTACAGCATGGCTGGGATAAGAGCAGCTTCAGCAGACCTTGGACTGCCATTTCTCTGGTGGATGGAGTCCTTTCAATATGTAAGATAAAGACAGAAAGAAGAATATATTTAATTTATCTATGGACTTAATATCCTTCAATTGCAGATTTAACACTAATTCCCTTAAGTCTCAACTCTGCCCAGATTACTTTGAAAATGCTTTCATGCTTCCTTACTTTACGGCAGCTCAGAGAAAGAATTACACTTAAATTCAACTAGTTAAAAGCAAATTGACATTTGTTAGTCTGCCACAGTTACATCTGATACAAAGCACCTGTGTTTATCTCTTTCATGGAACTGTATTTATCTTGTTTTACCAGACAAAAAGGAGAGGTTTATTCCTGCAGTTGAATAAATGTAAGGGTATTAATTTTTAGTGGAATATTGCAGTAATTGTTGAGTAAGAGAGCTAAAGTGTCTATTCTTGATGAAGCATATAAAGCTCTTAAGTAAAATGAAGCGAAAATGCTCAAAGGGCTTGCAAAATTCCACTTGAGGCTGAGTAATTCTTATGTGTCCTGAAAAATCCACAAGAAATATTAGACTGGTTGAGTTCCTGCTTCGCCACCAGGAAGAAGTGAGGAAGTGTAATACAAATCCATTCGCTTTTAAAAAGATTGCAGTTTATTTTCTCTTTGTGATTTTCATGTTCTGCAAAAACTGAGGTTTCCAATACTATTGCAGGGTTTAGTCTGAACACAGCCAGCGACCCAACATCAATCACTGAATTCACATTACAGTTAAACAAAAAACAAGCAAACAAATCTGTCGTGCCAAATGTTTATCACCTATTGTATTTAGTATTTTCTTCTTGAAACATTCTTAAAATCAAGTTTTCAAAATTGGATTGTGGATAATTTTTTTTTCTTTAATTTGTAAGTTTTTATTAATTTGAAGGTTCTTTTAAAATTCCAACTGATGTTTAACCACTGTATTTACTTTTTTGGCTACAAGTTTATACAATAGTTGGTAACTCTGAAACTTTATGCACCTCATACATAAACTTTCATGGACATGAATTTTACATTCATGATTTTAAGGACTTCATGTGGACTGATGCAGGTATATTATCTGCCAGTATGCAAAAAACACCTTCAGCATCAGTTAAAACCTTCTTCAAAAGGAGGTTTTCAGTCTGACATTTTCCTGTCAGACTAGAGAAGTATTTATATGCCCCTGTTCAAACACTTTACATGCCGTTTACACATAGCTTTTTGGACAGAACTAAAATGGGTTCGTGATTGTTCTAACAGAAAGCTACCTCTCCGTTAAGTTGCATACTTTTACAGCCTCTGACTTAGTCAAGTGTGCCACCTCCCAACTATGCTTGAATGCACACATGAAAAAAAAGTAGATGACTGCACAAGTATTTCACTGTTGAGTCAAAGCTGCTATTTATACAATATACTCAATACAAACCTACAAGTTCTGGGGAAAAAAAATCAGCTGATACATTCCCGTAGTTTAGTTTCTCACATGTCTCTATTTCCATTACCAGAAAAAGCAGTATGCCACATATCTTGCATGGCAGCCTTGAAGTCACCTAAGGAAACCATAGCACCATGCTCTAGCAAGGCCCTTACATCTCACTATTATGACAAAACTCTACTGTAATACTCATCTTAGTAAAGGAAGATTTTAGACACCACAGCCTTTGCACTTTTAGCACTAAAGCAAATACCTCTAACTTCAGAAGCAATGTCTGTGCCAGGAAACCTTATGTAGATTTTGTAACTTTCATCGGGTACTTTATATATTTTATATACTTTATATACTTTGCTGAGAGTGTAACACTGACTCGACAATTATATTTGCACATTAGCACATACTGGATTCTAATAATATTTATCAAAATATATACACATATACATTTAAATCTTAATAGAACGTACAGTCAAAGTAAATTCTCCAATTCAAGCATTAGGCTTTTGCATTCTTAAAATAGTTATCCTAATTTCTGCATGTTCGAGATTAGTTCTATATATATAATTTAATGCATGTATAATCTGTATATAATCTAATCAGTAGTCAGTAATTAAAGCTAAAATTAAAACAGTTACTATATTCATACCGGAATTAATGCTATGGCTGACAGCAAACTCAACTTTGCATTAATTCAGTTAAAATATTCGGGCCAGTTTAATTTTTTTCTCTTCCTTTAATGTCATATTATCCTATCTAATAAGGTCACTCATTGCCTTCAAACTAAAAGATAAGTGGCAAGTTGGGTCAATTATATTTATGAAGAATATTATTTTAAATTCCTATAGAAATAAATTGCATTTTTACAGTATCTGAATTGAAAAAAAAACTTGTCTGTCATTGACCAGATGGGAAGTTATCATGTTGTAATATACACCAGTTCTTGGCTCTTTAAGCATCTTGCAAATCGAAATGTACAATGGTGTGACTCACTTAGAGGAAAAATAAAATATAGCAGACATTCCCTACAGCCATGAAGCTAGCACCATTAAATGCACTGAGAAGTTTTGTAACGTGCATATGGAGAGACATATGTTCTCTCATCCTCATAGCTCAGTACTAGTGAAAATAAGACTAGCCCCATAAAAAGTGACAAAAGGTGGAGTACATATAAATATCATATACAAATGTCCTGTTTTGTACAGTAGAAGAAAAAAACCCAACTTTGATTTGCAAATTATATGACAATAAACCCCAAATGAGGCAAAGAATGAATCACAATTACCACTAAAGGAACTGTCATATAAATTATCAGTAATTATTTAGTTCGATAACCAACTATATTATTTTGGTTTGTATTCAGGATAGTAAGAAAGAAAACTTCATGTGCTAAGTTTAAGATGCTGTAAGGCAAGTAGACAGGCTAATCCACGGTAAGAACCTTGACACTGCTGTTGGAATCAAATTGATAAAATTAAACAGACTGTAGCCATTTTAAGGAATGAAAAATTATGTAGGAAATCAGTTTACATAGTAAACAAATTAATTTCAGGAACTAGCCAAACTTTTTTTTGAGATAATAAGCTTATGAAGACTAAATACTTAATAGCTAAATGCATGACAAATTAATTAGAGTAGTCAGTTAAAAATTAAGTGGCTACAGTTGAGAGGTATACAATGACCTGTGCTTCCAATTTTTTTACAGACAGTGAAGATATATTTTAATTAGCTATAAGATGTAAGTTCAGAAACCAACCCATGAATAATTGGTATACTCTGAAATACAGTCTTCTGCAATAGTTAAAGATAACGTTTCTCTATAATGTTCTAAAGGCAGTATTTGAAGGGGAAAAAAGTTTCATTCACATAGAGTGTAAAATCAACAAAAAAACTAGAACATCTCAGAATTACTCATTAGATACAGAGTCCTTCACTTTTTTTTCCTGAGCAGCTAAAAGGTGTGTTGTTATCACCAGGACAGTATGCAAGGCTCTCTCTACATATGGACTTTTCTCACAAAGGTACGCTGATTGTATCTTCTCAAGAGATGTACTTTCTTTCTTAATTCGCATATTCCTATTTGGTGATCAAGACGTTGTGTATTTTAGTACTTTTCTTCCACAGAAAATAAGTGCATACTACATAGCTCTGGAATAGTTTTCTGCTATTTATTCAAATCTATCTTAATTCCACCTCTGAAAAGATAATTATGTCAGACTGAAATGGTACCAGCATTTCCTGTACATACTGTTACAAAGCAAAAGGTACTCGTGATATCATCATCCAAAACTCATGCTTCACAGTATAATTTAAATTTTGAGATCTTGCCTTGCATGAGGGCATTAAGAAACTTGTTCTCCTTTCTACAATGAAAACTTAATGGAACATAAATTTTCCAGAAATGGATGACTAGATTCCCTTTCTATGCAATCATTCCCTCTACTGTATCCTTCCTTCTCTTGTCCTTTCTCTCCAACGATGCATAACTTTAAAAGTCACTGACAAAGTTCTTTGAAGCTTGATAAACACACATGATCTTTCATGCTTCATAAGAACTTAAATTACTATTTCAAGCAGGACACATTCTGAATTCACCAATTATTCAACTCTGTTTAGCATATCGTTAGTGAACCACATGATTCTGATGCAGTCGTGACATATATTGTCTCTGGTCCTGCAGATACGAGAGGCACCAGGGAAGGAGAGAACAGGATTGATGACATGTAGTTAGGAGTGGAGCCTATGGAGAGAAATCAGCATGTTTTGTGTAGTTTGGGGCAAAACTACAGGGAAGATACTTTTATATACAAGGTAAAAGATATTGTGTGTACAAGGAAAGAGGTAATAAATCCAAAGTACATGAGTCATCCATAGGTCACCACTCATTGGATAACGTACTCCTCCAAAATATAAAATTTCTTTCTCAGAAAAAACAGCAACATCTCACAAAAGCAGCTTTTCATGAAAATGGAGAGTGTAAACTTCTCAGGAAACAACCTTGAAAAGGATGAGGGGGAGGTGAAAGGGTTAGGAGAGTATCTACACTGGTGTGGGACTACTTCAATTTCAAAATTAGAAAGCAAACAACAGCACAGCTGGTAGCATGTACCTTCTATGTCACTTGTCATTATATGCAGTGATACAGAAAAGTAAAGCTTTTGCTTCTAATCATTCAATAATCTCCAAAAAATTCAACTATGATCAGGCAGCATATTGCTCAATGAGTCATTCATGTAACAAATATTTTTTTAAAACAGCAATCCTAAACAGAAAGGCATAGATTCTTTATCTCCCCTTTAATTATAAGTCCTTTAGAACAGCAATTGTGCTGAACTTCTGTGTTGTCAAGTATATTGTCATATACTCTTTAATTAAAGCCAGAAGGCATTACTGATAATTCAAATATCAAACATAATTAATAGACTAGCAAAATACAGTCCTTTCAGTGCAACTTTTTCTTCAGACTCTCAAAGATTAGAGAAATCTGTAATGAATTTTAAAAATGCTGTACTGACTTCTAAAAATCAGAATATTAATTAGACATTTATTCAGATATACTCTTCAAAATGTAACAATATTTGACTAATACTGACTATCTGGTGATCCTTTTACAACAATCAACTTTTGATACTCACTTCAGAAGGAAAAAACAGGATGATGGTACGCAAAATAACCAATGTAATGGATGATAAAAGACTTCAGAAAAATCTCGAGGAAGATGTTCATCAGAATTATCCAGAAATGTCCTGGAAGAAACCAAACACTTCTGAATTACATGGGAGACTGAAAATCCCCTTGGATCACTATTACTAAATGTATCTTATGACAAATACTCTTAATATATGTATGCAAACACATAATTGGAAAACTATCTGTGTACTGTAAAAATATAATTCTATATTTTATTCACTTTCACTCTCTTTGAAACTTGGTATCTAATAACTGTTATTCAAGTTTTCTTTGTATTTTTATTCCTATATAACACATTTTAAAACTATGTTTGAAAATGCATTCAATAAGCCAATTTCTTCTCAGGCATTCTACAGCTCTTTTTTTCCCACATAACAAAAATGCATAGTATTTTCTACACTTTTATAATAATGATACATAAAGTATCTTTTGAAATTATACTGACTGACATGCAAGTATATAGACACTTTGTTTTAAACTGGACAAAAATTTGAACCTTGAAGCTTTGGACATCCACTGGCTAGAGAGAAATTGAATACTGGTTGTTTTCAAATACAAAGAACTAGAGAAGAACTAGATTGTGACATAGATATCATTTTGTAATACTTCACTTACTCAAATGATGTGAGAGATAAAATCTATGAACACTAAAATGAAATATTTAATTAATTAATTATATTAATGTAATATAGATATGTGTAAGGATTCTTTAATTTAATATTTGTTAATTTATTAATTATTGTTTAGTAATAAATTATTAGCATTTGTATAATCTTCTAGCATTCTACTAGGATTCAATAATGTGTGACAGTAATGGATGCCCCTTGGCCTCTTCCCTTTTTATTCTCATTTACACTGCATACAATTCCAGCAGAGAGGAATTCCAGCCTGTTACATCCATCCTCCAATAAATATAAACAATTATCACTTCACAAGCACCTTACTTTGCATCTTACTTGACTCTGAATTTTTTGTCTTTCATCTAAAGTAATTCAGAACTATAGCTACTACACTGTCTATTAGGCCTTGATAAAAGAATAGAGAGAATTATATTTTTTCAGGTGTATAGTTTCTGAACTTCTCCAAAAGGTAGGCTGTTTTATTTGGAAAACACTCTTACTAATAAAAAAATAATAGAAAGAATTTCCTACAGATATCTAAATTATCTTAAGTAAGCAAAATCTGAGCAGAAGGATTAGCACAGTGAATTTGTGCTCTTTGTTAATTCATGAAAACCTGAAGATTAAAATAAAGCTGAGATTCTATTATAGCCAAAAGAAGAACACAAACTCAAAAAGGCTTATTTTAAGGACAGTAATTTCAATATTATGAAAGTAAAAAAGACATCTTATTGTCTCTCATCCACTGGGATATAGCAAAGTACAGAGCAAACATCCTACACAAAAGTGTGATAAATACATTTTGGTTAGCAATCTAATTTAAAAAAAGGACCACATCTTGTCTATTGGTTGTGTAAGAACCGTTTGAGAGAAAAGCAGCTTGTTAAGTATGACTCCTTAGCTGTATCCTAAGGAGCCTCAGCTGCATCCTAAGGAGAAGCACAGGGCAGATTTTTGTATTCTGACTTATCTCCTCATACCAAAATCTCAACAGAAATTTTTAAAGTGATAAAGAGATAATCTGAGGGTTTTAAATATTGTTTAAGTATTAGAATAGCTTCAAATACCATTAAAAAAACCAAGTGTCTAATGATATTAAAGTAATTCTCATGACAACATTTTTAATGTCCACTGTTGGCTACATAATTCTTGCCAGGAAAACCCAACTCTGTGCCAGACTGTTGAACTCAACTACTCTTCTGACAGAAGTATAATAATAGCTAGTAGGGCATTTGTTTTTCCTTCAAGTTATGCTAAAGCAGCTGCCTATTGTCTCAAAGCAGCAGATAGTGGATTTAATACCAAAGCAAGATTTCAAGTTATAGTGGCTTTATTCTTCAGTCAAGTATGACAAGGTGAGAATTGATCCTGTAAGCCTGAGTGCAGCTGTGAAGAAATGAGATGCCAGCAAGATGCATCCTAGCAGTATCTCCTTGTAGTTTTTGTACATTTTGTCTCTGTATAAGGAATAGACCTTACTAAAAAACAACTTCATGAGTTATAACTCATATATTGAACAGAAATGTTTTCAGTATTTAATACTGAATGACATTGAATTTACAACAACAGAGAGCAATTTTGCCAATAGGCTCTCTAAATGCTTCTCTCAACATTTAAATAATTTACCTGACTTCTTGTTGAGAAAAAATGATATAATAATTCATAGTGTGTAATCACAAAAGGTGCACCCACCTCACTCTGTATGCTCTTCCTTTACAGACTATCATCACCTACTTAGTGCAAAAAACTAAAAATATCAGAACAAGCACAAGAACAGATCTGCTCAAAACTTAAGCAACCCACAGCCTGAGGTAGAAGACAGTCTCTACTTTGAGGCCTAGATAATTTACTCCTTGTAGTGGGTCTAGCGCTGGCTAAATCGCCAGTGTACCCATTAGAATTATCTACTAATTTCCTGCTGTGAGATAGGATTAGGAGGAAGACAAAACAGGCTCAAACTTTGAACAAGACAACTTGGTACAAACTAGGTACTTGGTACAAAGAAGAACTTTATTACTAGAAACTACAAGAAAAAATAATGACTCAGAGTAAGACTTAGAAGACTTCTCCTCTCCCGACAACTTTTTTTCTTTCACACTGACAATACACAGAAACAAATCAGTTTGCCATCTCTAAAAGTAGTCTTTCACCAATTTACATAGGGACAGGAGACTTCTCTTCAGTTTATGGAGATTTCTCCACAAGAAACAGTTTTCTCATCGCTTTGATGTCACAGTGATCAGCCGCCCAGGAGAATGGAAATCTGATCACTATGTAAAAGTCCCTTCCTTGACTAACAATCTTCCCACAATTGTTATAGAGGACCATGTCAACTTAAGGGGCACACTTTAAGGATTATAACAGTTCAAACAAAAGCTCTTCTTCTTCTTCTTCTTCTTCTTCTTCTTCTTCTTCTTCTTCTTCTTCTCCTCCTCCCCCCCCCCCCCCCCCCCCCCCCCCCCCCCCCCAGGGGGGGCAACAGGGATCTTCACTTCTCCTCTCTGTTCAAACTTCTCATGGGATCATAGCCACTTCAACATCTGCTTACTTCAACACAAATGCCTTTGCCCATGGCCTCAATGTGAATGGGTCATCTACCCCACAATGCATTTTCTGCTAGCTACAGGGAAACAAAAGTATCTTCTCCACAGCTTAAAAAAAGAGAAATTCCAGTCCACGGCTCTCCTCCTTTCCTTATCTAGGACCTGATTCTTCCTTTTGTCTGATCTCAATGTTTTCTTGCTGTTTCTGTGCATATCTTCATCTTGGTCGTTTTCTTTCACTCAGGAGAGAGAACAAAATGTCTTCAAGTCTCACCTGGGCAACGAAGGAATTAATATCTTGTCTGGGCCAGCAGATGGCCATGAGATCTCTTCCTGGCCATAGCCAGGAATTATTTAAGATAAAGAGTCTTTTGGAGCCGCTCTGGGGCTGGGCTGGGATCCCAAGGGCCCAGCCAGGAAGCAGTGATGGTTGTTCCAACTACATTCCATTCCAGGGGGGCCTGGCTCAGCCCTCGCCTCAACCCCTTGCAGGGGCTGCGGCAGGCAGGCCCGGCCCGCAGCCACTCCTGGGGCCCCACGGACCCCCTGGCTCGGCCCAGGCTGGTGGCAGGGCAGGGTTTTAATGTCAGCTAGATGTTCAGCCGAGCAGCAGGCCCCCTCAGCAGCTGAGCGGGCTCCCCTCCACCTTTCTATCAAATGCCGGGGGCCCTGGCCGACGATGGGGCCTGGCAGCTTCCTAAGCCCTGCGTCAGAGCCCGCCCGGCCCTGCCCAGGCCGGTGTTACCTTTTACTGAGGCGGAATAAAAAGAAGGGTAACTTTCTGGGCTTGTGTGTTTTAAAATGCAAATTCACAGAGGCATGTTCAGCCTTCTCAGTGGTTTAATAGGTTGTCAATGCTCAAAACTGGTCACTGATTGGTTTTTTGTCAGACACAGAGGAAGCTGCCAGGTCCTAACAGGGAACTATTTCAGGAAATTTATACAAACCACCACACTCCTCTACAAACTAACAAGTAAAGAATGGTATAGGACTCTCCTGTGTATTCACGGGCAGCACTGAAACAATGCAATCCACTACGTGAAACCCCAGCTCCTAGAACTGAGGAACTGACAATAATCATGTCAATGAGTAAGACAATGATGACTGGAAATTCAAAAGTATGAAAATCCTCTTATTTCAGAGGTTTGAGTAAGTAGCAAGAAAATAGCAACACTCAGTAGATTTGGGGGACACGTTCTAGAGACTCGTTGTTCAACAGGTCCTCGACAATGAGGACAAAAGCTGACAGGGAACAGTTGCTTAGGACATTTTCAGGTGACACTGAACTGGGGGAAGCAGACACAGTAGTTAACACAAGAAACAGCTGAGTGCCTACTCATGGATGACTGGGACAACAGAAATTCACTAAATTAACTGAGGTAAAGAGAAACTGTTTACTCCAGCTACAGAATTACAATAACCTAGATGGGAACTGACTTGTCCGAGTGCTGCCCTGCTCAACCACAAACCTGGGGTTTATGGGCAGCAGGGTCTTGAAGACAAGGCAACAGTATATCATCACTAGAAAAAACACAAACCACACACTGGGCTCTAATAGGAGGAACACAGCAACTAAAACCAAGTGATTTACTTCATCTGCTTGTCAACAGTTTAAGCCTTACCTAGAATATTTTGTCCAGATGTTAGGCCTGCATTCAAGGAGGATGTGAGGAAACTGAAGAAAACTAAACTGAACCACCCCTAAGAAATGTTTGAAGGCCCTAGACACTTTTACACTGGTGAAGAATCATCTAATGGCAGCCTGCTACCACCCAAAGAGCAACTACAAAGACAACACTGACCAACTTTCCTCAGTGGGGGTTGATGTGATACAGCAAATTACAGCCAGCAGCTTTAAGGGTTCACACTAGATACGAGGCAATACTTTGCATTAAGGCATCAAAGCTGCAGAGCAGGCTTCACAAAAAGTTGTAAAACTTCAGTTACTGGAGGCTGGCATGTGTCAGTTGAGTCAGTCTAACACAGTCATGTTTGACTACTCTTGGTGATTGTTCTGCTTTGAGGAGGAGGCTAGATTAGACAACCTCCAGCAGTCCTTTCCAACCAACATTTCCATTATGCTGAAGATACTTCAGGAAGGCCACATAAGGGTGGGGAAAAATGAAGCACAGAAAAACAAGTATTAAACCCTGACAACCCAAGATTCATAGGTAAATTTTGGACCAGATCTAAGAAACTTTGTCATACAAAAGAAACTCTAGACCACAAAATTAGGAATGAGAAAACAGAATCACCTTATTTGAAGTTAAAGATATTACTAATTTTTCAGAGTCATTATGGTTTTGTTCAAGTTCCACAAAATAATTTAAAAATTTGAATAATTTTAGTTCACTTAAGCAATAGAAAATACAGCCCCTTTAGTAAGTTGGAAATGAGCCAGTCATATTATTACGCAACTCCTAGAAAAGAATGTTTCATCATCGCCAGTTTTATGATTACATAGAATTTTCTGGAAAAGTCTAAAGATTAAATGACTTCTAGGCACTTAAGAGAAAACTTCCAGTACCAAATGAGAGCATGATAGATTTAAAAGAAAATATTTTACTTCCAGTTAATTATACCAATGATTTGAAAGATAAGGAGCCAAGATAACAGATGGAAATTGTGATTATACAAGATAATTGCAGAGAGAATTGATGGAAGATTAGTATTCCTTTAAAATCAGGCATAACATTTAAATTTATTATTGACAGATTCTTGATGCATAAACTATGCATACCCCAGTAAACAACAGACCTATGTACTATACCTAAAATTCACTGTATCAAGACGTTTCCAATTGAATATTGTAATTTAAGAAGCTGATTGGCTAAACCATTTTTTTCTTTGTACTCTGGACACTGGGTTAGGTTACCTGACAAACATTGGCTGCAATTAAATATACAATATAAAAAATCGTTTTGATAATGGGACCTCGCAGATTGTGAAAACACAAGTTCTGAATAGAAGTTAACTTTAAAAATCCAATTTTACTTACTAAAACATGCATCCTCTACATGGAAATGGTCTTCAGGGTTAATATTGTTTTTGTAACTATGTAATAAAATATGACAATTTTCAGTATTCTTTTTAAACAAAGCTGCCATATTTTGGTGGTGATTTGCAGAGTACTTTGTAGTAAATTAAATGAGCTGCTACATTCAGCATATGTCACGTTTTTGATCTCCAGATAAGCAAATTCAGGTAATGAAATTCACATCCCCAAGCTATTTGACCAAGTTGTTTACCTGCAGCATTTTACATAAAATAAAAAACAAGCTTTTTATTGGCACTTTGTTCTGAAACTCCGTGAGTTCTCCAGTAAGCACACATTTCTTGTCATGCTATGTATACATAAATATGTAAACAACACTGATCAGTGGAGGAGACTAGAATCACTAAAAGGAACAAATTATACTGCACAATTATTTTGGTCTATAATTGTACAGGTTTTCATAAAAGAAGGATGAAATATCAAAACTGACAATAGAAGCAGTTACAACTACTGCAGTGTCCTTTCCTGTCTCCGTTTCTACTGCCACTGCCTAATCTGAGTCACCTTCTAAATTGCTATCTATTCATAAACCTGTGTAATATAAGATCAAACATCCAGTTACATTCCACTTTTGCATGTTCTTTAGAGCCCACAAATAATAAAATGAGCCCCCACAAAAAAATGAGCCTGTAACAAAAAAATTTTAGTTAATGCAGCTTATATACAGGAGGTCTCCATCCTAGTATTACCTAGAATTTTCTTACTTTGAATAATGAAGTAAAAGCTAGTTGAATAGGATGTGGCTTCATTAGTTTGGGGTTTTGGTGTCCCTCTTTTTTAAATATGTGATCTAACAAATTGTATTGCCTCTTACATCAAATTTACAGAAGAATTTTATCAGCAAAAGACTCAGACCCAATTTCAGTGCAAGTTACATGTCTATTTTTTACAGCTGCGACTTGCAAATACATGATTTTATAAATACAGTAATTCTATATTCTTACATTTTAACTGTATTTGTTGAAACATACTGGTCATGCAACCAGATGATCATTTTAGTAAATTATCTTTACATTCCAATATGTCTAGAAACATTATCAGATGGCAACAGAATATTCTGATTTAGCTGGAAGTCTAAAGTAGATAAATCTGAACTAGTAAGATGATTTTTTTTTCAATTGATGAATGACTAAGTCCTTGAAAACCTTGCCAAAGTATTTGGTACCAGAGTAGTAAATGTTTTCAGATCAACAAGACCAAATTTAAAAAGAAATATGCAAATTTGGGGCAGTAATAATTAATGAAATTCTACTAGTTTTGTTACAGAGGAAATCAACCCAGACATTCACTATGGTCTTCGTTATTAACAGAAAAGAAATGTACAGCAGGAGTTTGATTCAAAGCTAATAAAATCTCAGCAGATATAACTGGGCTTTAGGTAAGATCACAAAAATAAGTATAGGGTCAAACTGAGAAACAGTCAAAGTGCCAATAGTATGCATTGAATTTAATTTCAACACAAAAATTCACCTTGTAGATCTCTCCATGTAAGCTCAAGAATCAACTTTACGTCAAATTGAATGTTTATTTCATACTCACTCATACAAATTCTTCAGGGGTGAAGTTAAAATAGCCAGCACAGAGATCAGACTATTGCAGTGGCTATGTATTTTATAGATCTTCAGATCTCTGTCTTTGTGTGGATTTAGAAACTCCTGCACAGAACTACAAATTGACCAGAGCATATCTTCAGTGGACATCAAAATTGCTGCAATATCAATTCTGTAGGGAAAAAAGGCCCAAGAATAACATTACTTAAGACATCCTGATAGTGGTAAATTCCAATTAAACAGGCATTTTCTCTGACAGGATAAATACCAGAATCATAGCATGGACTTCAAACTTCCTCTTCAGTGATGCAGGAAGTCTCTACCCACTACTCTGTAAAAACTCAACTCTTTCACAGAGAGGTTGTTACTGAAACTAGTAAAAAGAAGACTTAAAAATTTGGAAATGTCCTTTTTCAAAGGACAGTGTCACTAGGCATGAACAATTTACTTTCTAAACTACAAGTAAATAAATATAATTTTTGTTTTCTATAATTAATATGTACATACTATTCTAAATCCAGATGGGGCAAAAAAATAGAAACAAAGGAACTTAGTCTTCAAATTAACTCCATGCAACATCGTACAATGTGGAACATTTCTGAGTCAGTAATCTGTTGCTTGCTGGTACTGACTGGCAGAGGATCACATGTCATTGGCCTGAACAGCAAGAACCCAAACTACAACAAAATAATCTCACAAGACTATGGTGACATACAATACATAGGAGACGTGAATAACACAAAAAATATGGGATGTATAAAGTTAGACTTTAAATAAGTACCTAAAAGCCCTGGATGCACATGTGATCATATGCATTTTTAAGGATCATGTTATTTTTGAAAAATTTAGGCAAACACAAATAAACAGATATTTGTCAATATTACACATCAGTTCTCTACCATTTGAAGAGAAAAGGTACCCTACTACAACAGTATTAAATAATATGTAAAGATTCTGTGATAAAATATATTGAATTACATAGAGTATTTTTTCATTTATTCATGACTGGATAGTTCAATTTACTTAGTGAAAAATTCAAGACTCACCTTAACGAATATACAACTTTTCTATAAAATGACAATATAGAAAATTCTTTCTTGTTTAAATTAAATTCATACAGAATTGACTAATATGAAATTTAAGTAATATTGCATTTTTCATATTTCAGGGAACTTTTCCCTCAAAAAAATTTCCAGGCAAGCTTTCAGGAAACCTCCCTGTACCAAGGATATAGAAGAGACTGATTGCAGTAAGTTATTGCAGGAATAGAGCACACAGATAGGTATGTAGAATAAAACTTTGGTTTTTTCCTACCCATTTCAAGAATATGATCTTGCACAAGTTATTTGAGCTTTCATAACAATACTCCTTTTCATAATAAAACTTGAGATGACAGCATGTAACTCTTAGCTCACACAGAACATGTACCTGCTTAGTGTCTCTAACTCTCTAAAATTACAAACCCTTTAACTCTTCTCAGTGGTGCTGTGCAATAGGTCAGAAGGCAATAGTCAGAAACTGGTGCACAGGAAGTTCCACCTGAATATGAAGAATACTGTGTGGGTGACCAAGCACCGGAACAGATTGCCCAGAGAGGCTGTGGATTCTCTCTCAATGGACACATCTAAAAGCTGTCTGGACTTGGCGTTGTGCTATGTACTCTGGGATGACCCTGCTTGAGCAGGGAGGTTGGACCAGATGACGCAGTGTGGGCCCTTCCAAAGTCACCCATTCTGTAATTCTGTGTGATTAGGTGAGGAGCATTACACCTATTTAGTCAGTAAAACAAGACATTGGATAGAAAGGATAAAGGTAGGGCAATCTTCCACTTAAAGACACCTGCTTTAGTATTTCTCAAAAAGACCCTCCCCTCTGACAAAACATAAGAATTGCAGTAAGAAAAACTTCCAATTTCTTATTTCCTAAAATGACAGAAAAAGGAAGAGCCTCTTTCTCCTCTCTCCTTCTACACCACTGGCATCATTCTGACAAATCTTTTGATGTGACCTTGTAGCTCTTTCAATTGAAAAGTGCTATAAAAACACAAATTATACTGGAAAACATTAATTTTTCTTAATGAATCAATAGCTTGATTTCTATTCCTGACGTTGCTAATTCTGTCCACATTTTTGGTTGCACAACCAATCCTCAATGCACTTTCATTGTGAGGCTTTCAAACCAATCAAGCAGTTTGTGAAACAATTTCACAGAGAGTTGAAAGAGGCCTTTGATTCCACCCAGTTTGCAATATAACTACTAAATATACTTAAATATACAAAATATATATTATTAAAACAAACATCAAAATGCATAGATTTGGTCTATCCTCACTGCTGTGTTCATTAACATTGAAATTTGAATCAAAGCAGTGAATAATAGAAAACTAACATTTACTTCTTTTATTCACCAAAACGCTGCATTAAATATACAAGCATTACCTGATTTGTGGTGTTCTTTTGTAACTCGGACACACCTGACAATATCTGGAGGACAGAATGTCCAAAGATTGCTCTAGTACATCTGTAAGAATCTCCTGGGCTGTCTTTGGAGGTAGAATAGTCCATAGATCATGATGAAGAGCACAGCAGAAGTAATGCCACATCTGGACAGAGAATGAACATCTTTCCCCCTATTAAAACCACCACATATTACATAACAAAAACACACCTTCCAAAACGTTAATTTAACTCCTATAGGTCTAGTTAATTCAATCTGAAATAGCTAAAGAGTTCCAGGAATATATGGCCAAAAATGGTCCTTGAAAAGATGTGAGACATCTTTATTTGCAAGGAAACACATGCTGCATTTCAGTCACAAAATTATAGTTCTGCCACAAAATAAGACCACAGCATTTGAACTCTTATATCCTCAATTAACCTATTCTCAAAACCTATAGTGTTGCAAGTTTAGTTTAAAAACATAGATAGTATTCTGTATGCAGTAGAATAGCCAGATAAAGTTAACAGTTTCTTTGTCAGCAAAGAAAATACATTTAAATTACTTAAGCTGGGTATTTACTCAGTTTCAGAAATGCTATGCATAACCATGATTAAAAAGCCTTGCTTATATATAATAGATATTCAAGAAGAGTAGAGAAAAGAACAACTGAAATATTAAACCAATAATAAGAGATATCCAGATTTTTTTTCTGCTTCTAATTTGAATGTATTGAAACCAAATATTTTCTGGCAAGGAATCAGCATCGGCATTAATATTTCATTGTCTAAACAGATCTGTCCCATTAAGACACAGAAATAAATACACAGGAGTCAAAATCACAGCAGTTAATCCATAATGTTTCTAAAAAGTACACAGGAAAACTCACGTTTAAATATTTCAAGTAATACCTTTTCAGCAATTGCATTATCATGAAGCTCTATCATAAGAACAGAGACTTCAATCTTCAGTTCCCACATCCCAAAGGTACTGAGAAATATTTTAAGGATTTGTTGATATTTTAGCATTATTAGAAATACAAAATAACCCCACAATTTAAAAAACACTTTTAGAGTTTGATAGGCATTCTTTAACAATGAAAATCAAGAATAATCTGGCTTCTTTTTCAATACATTAGCCTAAGCATTAGCAGATTATTGGAAGTTGAAACTATTTGGTTTTTCTCTGACATAATATTTGAAGTGCATTTTATATTAAAAAGTGGCAAAAAATTTTACAAGAATCAAAATAAATGAGCTGGTTGACAAGTTTAACTTTTTAACTTTATAAACACAAATCATTTCACTTTCTCTCCTTTGGTTTATTTAAGTAATAGCTCTTTTCCCCTTTTTTTAGTATTGTACCTCCACTGCAGAAGCAACAATATCTATGAAGATTTAAATAAGATTCACTCCCCTCTTCTGACCTGTGTTTCTATTTGTTGCCATTTCTAGACAATTCCACTGATAAATATCTGCTATTTTTGCAGGCTTCATATAATAAAAACAGATGTGAGCTTCTGTTTAGGTTATATGAAGAAACAAGCAGCTGTGTTTTATTACATAAGCTACTCAGTATCATCTCTGAACAGACAATTCTTTATTCTTTGACTGTTAGGAAACATAAGTTCCCACAGCTACAACAGATGTCTGCTACACTAAGAGCTTCATTCAAAAACATAATCTGGAGAGCTGGCCCAGTGGCACACTCTTCCTGCTGAGCTCATATGTTGGAAGAAGCTACCTCTCACTGCTGGAAGTTTCAGCAGGGAATTGTCTCTGTAACAAGCAACAGATCTTAATCCAATCTCTTCCATTTAGGATGCCTACAAGATGTCAATTGAAGGAACATATGCTCAGCAGCACACCTCCTGAAGGAACTCAGAGCAGATCATGGTCCACCCTTAGGCTATCTCCCATGGCTCAGTAAAAAGAGGAGTGCTGATGTAAAATTACATACTTTTCACCTCAAATCCTGCAAACACACAGAGATGAGACACCATTCCGTCCTACATGCATTAGTTCTGTTCAGTTATGATGAAACTGTTTAGCTACTCCATATTCTTTCTCATCAGACAGCTATTTTTCCATGGTGAAGTTACTGGGTCACCAATAAACAAGACATAACACCATAGGCACTATAGACAATGAAGATCATATAATGATTCAGCAGCTGCCAAAAGCCACTGCATTTCTTACCTTGTCATCTATCATCAAACAAAACTGTTTGAATTCATCTACTCGTCTTTGGAGGGATGGACATTTTGATAAATTACTCTATGGTCTGCATACTCTGTTCAGCACAGATTTTGTCACTGACTGAGCAGCTTCTTACACTATATCTGTAGATTACATGTATCAGATGGAATTTTCTTTCATGCAAGAATTCTAGAAAATGCTTAACAGAACACACCAATTGTCTCACAGAGAAAAGTATACAAGGCAGGACAAGACTACATCTCCAAGAGATCTCAGTTATTACTGATTAAAAACCCATATAATACTTCATCCTGAAATTAAGTGAAAGTAATTTCAAACAGTCGATGTCAACTTATGCTTGTATTTAACTAGGATAAAGGAAAAAAATCCAACAATTGAAAATAATTATCTTGATTTTTTTCATAGAATCATTAGGATTATAGCTATAGATCAGACCTTTGACTTCAAGACGCAGGTGAAATGGCACTGGTTATTTCAGAAATACATTGTTGAATGCTTTAGGTAACTATATTGACCATCTTTCTTTGTTACACCCTTTACTCACAAAAAGTAAAAAGCAGAACCAAATGAAAATAAAAATCAAAGAATCAGATATAAAAATTCCTAGGAAAATATTTTCTAAAAGAAGTATAAAGTTTTCAGAGATTAAGATGATGGTGTCCTCTTTACTGAGTTCCATATAAATGTCTTGACACACAATAAATACTTTATTAAGCAAAAAGCACAAACACTTCATGGTAACATTCTATCTCATCATTGAATGACTATGTTTTCCTACATCATTTCTACAGAAACACTGCCTGCAATAATGGATATTTCAAAATAGTAAATTCCAATAATCCTTATGTAAAAACAATAATCTCATGCTTCTGATTAGTCAGAGAGCTGGCAACCACTAAAATATATTTTGTGAAAGGGAGCCATAGTAAACTTAACCTCACACCTCGTAAAAAGCTTTGTAGTCATCCCAGTAGTGGCTCTCAGCATCCTGTAAAATGCTTGTAGCACAAACTCTGATGCAGTAGTTCGTAACTTGAAACTGGAGAATGTTGATAAATTCCTGATATTTTTGGACAGGCACTAGGAACAGTGGTCTGTTCAGAGAGAATGATTAAAGAGACAATGATTGAAAGGCTGCACACTACGAGGTAACAATCCCTAGTACTGCAAGTAGTTTTGATTTGTAGCTATCAATCATTCAAATTTTCTCTTGGTCTTGAACGTAGCATTCAGTTTTGCAATGTTTTGTTTCAGAAGTTCTTAAAATATATCTGTTGTCTATAAATTCTCATTTAACCAATCACTGAGAAATAAATTACTTCATCCTATTTTCTGAGACAAGTATATTTGTCATTCACTTATTTGGATGTTGCAGCATTGTTGCATCAGTGATTATTACATCAGCACTGAGCGTGACAAAGAAAACATAAGCACAGAGTACAGAGATTGCTTTTGGTAGTTACGTAATAAAATTCTTTGATAATTGTGGGACACATATTGAGAAAGTAAGAAAATTACAGCCTGAAAAATATTCTAGGCTGGAGCTTTTCAGCTCTCTTCCCAGCCGATAAGCTGGTCCAGCTCAAGGCTAGGGAGAATTTCTCCCAGGGTGATAATTTTGTCAAAATAAAAAGGAATTAATAACAAGATAGAACACCTGTTGTGGTGCATGACCAGGCCCTGGGAATGGGGTGCCTGCTCTCTGAGCCAATCATCTTTTCTCTATTCTTCGTGCTGCGAGTCATGATATAAAACCAAGGGTGTTTCTCAATAAACTTGTCTCTTTCTTCCTGTCATGAAAGACGACTATGTAGCTGTGCATCTTATTTCCACTGCACTTCAAAGGGTTAAAACACCTTTCCACAGCTACAGATAATACACCTAAGTAGAATTATTAAGCACTATTTTGGCTCAGACTTCCCACTCACAAAGACAAACTTCATGCAGGAGACAGTAAAACATCGGAGGGAAAGCAACTCAACAGTGTATATATCCACTTAGAAATCATACATTCCTTAGAAATAGTGCTACTTCAGAATCCCTTCCCAAAAACACTGTTTCTTTGTTTAAATTGCACATGGCTAGAAACATGTGGACCAAGAGACTCCTAATAACTTAAGACAAAATCTCCTAAAAGCAAGTGCAGTTATATTTGCCCCAGGTCAAACACTGCTTTTGACTTTATACTCCTACTTCATATCTTCTCTAGTTTCTGCATGTAATAATAAACAGAATTCAAAAACTACAATGTATGTATTTCTTTACGTCTGAATACACATGGTGTTAGGAAAAACCACAGAAAGATATTATAATATTGTCTTCTATGATTGCTATGTGCTAAATCAGATCTTATGAAAATTAGGCATTGCAAAGATCAGAAAACGAAATCAAGGCCTTAGCACTTTATTTATATGACAGCAGAGTACATTCAGTTCCCTGGACATCCTATTTTCTCAAATTTAATAATTTTTGAAAATTGATCTGCAAATCAAATGCAGATCTTGCACATACATAATTTGTTTTGCAATGGCTGCTCTAGACTATCAGGTTGATTCAGGTATTTTTGTAAATAGTACACATACTGCATGTGCTAAAAAATATGATGCAATTTGGAAAACTACCACCATACTGTATCACCAAAATAGAATAAAGTCTCATATTATTTATGTTTGAATAAATATTTTAAGTAAAAAGGACATACTTTTTGCTTGTTTCTCTCATTAAGTTGCTATACACTGTAAAATGCTGAAAGACATATATCGCTGTGGAAAGGGCAGCATACAGGTCTTGCAAGGGAGCCTTCAAGGGAACGTCTTTGCTTTTCTCCTCTAGTCTTGCCAAAACAGCTGTTGCCACTTTGCTGCAGGCCTCTACAAAGTTTGTTCTAATTTCCTGAAGAGAATCATCTCTGCAGGCCAGAGCTAATGGAAGCAATGTGTCGAGTTCTTCCATGATGTCAGAACAAAACTGAGAGAAATAAATGTGGCACCAAGTTATTTGTATTCTGACAGCACTGTTTAATTTATACATGCTAGAGTCACATTCTTGAATAATGAAATTGGCATGAAGCATAAATATATTGAATCAGCTTTATAAACACTTTAATCTCTAAAAAAGAGGAGTAACATTTCTTTAAATTAAATATTATTTCATTCTTTCTTGCTTTAAAGCTGCATATTCTATACTAGGGGAAAAATTAAAACTATTTTATGCTAGTAATACCTTCATTTGCTTTTGATGTCACTAAACGTATATTCAAAGCACAAGGTTAATTCCTTGTAAATAAAGATAATTTTCTAAACGAATTAATTTTGAAAAATACACAAACACATTTCTTAACACTGGATTTGGAAACAAACACGTCACCTCTTCACAAATTCATACATTAATCTCCCTAAAATTATCTCCCCAAAGCTCAAGTGTTGTTTCAAGCAAGAATTCATTAACAGCATTCCAAATCTGCTAGAATAGTTGCAAATCTTACTAAAAAAAGTCTTTCAAACACACCTTTCTTTACAAAAGGAATTTAATTAATAGATGACCTTTTAGCCAAATCAAATAACTCTAAATTGGCTTTATTACTAGTTATGCCAATTAGTAGAATGGCATGTCTAATGATATGAATACAGGAAATCCCTTTATAGCCATATTTCAAAGCTTTCAACATTTTCCCATCAAACCACTTGGTAACAGAGCTGATACTAATCAGAATGCTTTAGAACTTTTTGGCTGAAAAAAATAATGCCAGTAAAGTTCAAAAGTTAATTCTTTCAAGTACAAACTATGGGCTATTGTATAAAACTCTGTTCAGCTTCGCATTGTAATGCCTCTCACTTTCTTCTTAATTCCATTTATATAAGATATAGAATATTAATAGTACTGTAAGTACTTCAAAGCATAGATGTCAAACAGCCTTGGCATTCTGTCTCCCTTCAAACTTCAGATCTTTAAATACCTGCCTTAGCAATTCGTTTTGGTTGCTCCTCCTGTTGGACTGCTCTGCAGGACTCCCTCATTTGCTGGTTGTTTACAAGACTCATTGCACAGCCCGCAGCTGAAAACTCTTCTTTCTGCTCATGTTGAAGAATTTTAGATGAAAAATCCTCAATTGCTATTGTTATACAGTGAGCCACAGAAGAAGACAGGTCTTTAAATGCATTTCTCCAACCAAAACTCAGTAAAATAGGCTGAAATACATATTAAAATTAAATCAATCTAAAGTCATTGTTGAGTGTTAATATTGTCTGAAAATTAAATGCACATCCACAATTAATTTACAGGACATCATCATATTTTGAAATTAATTTAAAGGATTTATAATACAGTCCACTAGTGTTGAAATCATACTAAAAGCAGTGTTTTTAGCATAACAACATTAAAATTGTCATAATTTTCTTTTAAAAAATCTCTCCTGTTTAAACAAGACAGCTTTTATAAAAACATGCTTCATTTTTACTTAATTTGTAATCTTTAACAGAATCTACTTAAGAAAGTCAAAGAATTTACAGATATTTGCAATAGTATAACAAGTAATCTAGCTATGTACACTGTGATAATTTTCACTGCAAGGTAACAACTGGAAGCTACTAACCATGAATCTCAAAGGGAAACACTTAAGAGGAAATGGTTTTAACATAGCCACACCGTGTTTAACATCTCTAGAACTGGATTTAGAAAATATTGAAATGTTTAAATAAAGATTTGTAGTTTTTAGCCAATGCTGACTTTTACTGTGGTTTACATCACTTCCTTGCCTTCTTTAAACAGAGACTTCTAAAATAATCTGGTGTAATAGTTGCCAGAAGTAGACACAGTAGGACATCATTAATTTTCAACTTATCGGACTTTGCATTGCTCTTATGATTTACATCACACTTAAACCTTTCCAGAAGTGGCCATTTGAGAATTGCACCACTGTAAGAAACATATTTTAACGACATAAGATGATGTTCAGTAAATATCTCCACCATGAGGGCACAGTAGGACAGATTCCTAACTATTTCTGCAGCTATAATAAAAGCTATAATAAAAATTGGAAGAGAATGAAGGGCTACAAAGTAAAGCCCTTTCAAGTTACTTCAGTTTAAAGTTGTATCCTCCTCCCTTTCCCTTTCCCCACTAGCAACATTCAGCTCTTGTAAGCACAGTCAGAGCCCCCATGGACATACAATGTTGAATTCCCTCATTTTTTAAATGGTGATCAAGAACATCCTGATCTACCTAAAATATTCTTCTTTGTAATACATATGAGTATTAGTCTCACCCACCAATCCAAAGCATAATTTTAAAAAATTTCAACATTAAAATCAAGCCATTAAGAAATTAAATTCCACTATCATAAAGTATCAGACTTGTGGGAGCATTTAGGTGCCAGAAAATCAACAATAAAAATGTGTTTTGCAGCAAATGGGCGCCAGATAAAAACAATCTTGTATGTACATTCTACAAAGCACAGTGCTTATTACACAGTAGTTTGTTGGCATCAAATTGTATGAATACCTCTAGGAAGAACCATTATGATCAAATTCAAAGAACTTCATAAATCTTCTTCAAGATTCTTTGAGATTGTATGTATAATATTAAGAAAGCAACCATAATTTAGTAATCTTTTTTTCCATTTTGTTATAAGGTATCTTATAATTATGTTTTTTGTTATTAACTACAAAATACCAACTACTTCTTTGAAAGCCATAATATTTTATTCCATGTAAACTGAAACTTTGCACATAAAAGTAATCAGAATAGCTGAAGTAATGAAACTACAGCAATAAGTGTTTATAATGAACATGGCGAAGTCTACACTGAAGACACACACAAAAGAAAACCCCATTCAAAGTGTAAGGCTCTTTTCATACTCACCTCTTCTACCTGAAGTAACTGTTCAGGAAGCACGCTGGTTTCATTTGCTCTGGTTTCTCCTATTAAAAGCTCCCCACTAGCTCTCTTCAGAACTCCTGCACAGTATGATAAAAGAGATCAAAGTTAAGATTAATTCTGTAGAAAAGTCAGCAGCCTACAACATCTTCTGATATATCAATATGAAGCATAAAAAAAACCCTCAAGAAGATGTAGGGGAATACTAATGTTATAATAAAGTCAAATTCAAGTTATACAGAGTTTCTTTTATATAACATGATGAAATCAACATCTGGTTGTACTTGTATTTTATACAAATGCAGATATAGTGTGTAAAATATGGTTTCTTTTGTCATTTATGCATTTTTATACTGATTGTGAAGTCACCTCTTAGGGAGAATGGATAAAATTAGATCATGTGTATAGAAATTAATTTCTCCTCTTTGTACAAATAATTATATCAATCGAACGCTAATATATTTTTGCAGCTTTTACTTATTTGGAAACACCAATACAATAAGAGTAAAAAGACAATTAATTAGTACAGTTATTATAAGCAAAATGATGGCTTATAAAGATATAAAGAACAAGAGAAGCTTCTTAAGAAGGGTTGGTACAAAGCTCACTCATAAATCTTAAGAATAATGGGATATTGCCCCAGTGTTGTAAAAAACAAACTGATATCTGGGGTTGAATTCACTTTTTTCAGTGCTTCAAGAAATCTGGGTTCCTGAAGTGCATTGATGATTCATCTTCCAAGTGATACAAGCACAAATCGAGGTGCTTATTGGGGATTTGCAAGTCCAAGGCAGCCTTGGCTGCAGTGACCATGAGATAGTGGACTTCCAGATCCTGAGAGCACAAAGGAGGGTGAAAAGCAAGCTCACAGCCCTAGGCTTCAGAAGAGCAGACTCTGGCCTCTTCAAATATCTGCTTGGGAGAGTCAAATGGGAAAAGGCCTTAGGTAATGGGACATAAGAAATTTGAATAATATTCAAGGATCACCTCTGCCAAGCTCAAGAGAATTGAAAAAAAAAAATGGCAGAAGACCTGCACACATGAACAAGAAGATGAGCCAAACTCAAACACAAAATGAAGCATACAGAGTGTGGAAGTAAGGATGGGTAACCTGAGAGGGACACATAAACAACTTCTGAGCATGGAAAAAGTTAAGGAAGCTAAAGCTCAAGTGCAACTAATTTGGCCAGGGATGTCAAAGACAACAAGAGCTTCTGTAAAGTACACAGGTGATAAACGGAAGACTAGGGAAAACATGAGCCCATTGCTCAAAAACATGGGGGACCTGGTAACACAGATATGAAAAAGGTTGAGATACTGAATGTCTTCAACTCAGCATTTGCTATCAAGACCAGCCTTCAGGAATCCCAGGCCCCAGAGACTAGGAGGTGAGGTTGGAGCAAGGAAGATGTACTCTTGGTGGAAGGGGATCAGATATGAGAATAACTAAGCAAACTCAACATATTGAAATTCTTCGGCCCTCATGGGATGCACCTGCAAGTGTGGAGGGAGCTGGCAGATACAGGGAATAAAACAGAGAGCACAATGTAACTGATAAATGGGCCTGGTATCTTAGGCCTCATTGAGCAGAAACTGTGGGAGAGACAGACACAGATAAATGCTCACTGGGCAAGAAGTGACCAAGAAACATGTTGAGAAGCTTTGTGATAAGTGTTACCAGGTGATGTGATGTCATGAAAATGTGTAACCAATGGGAAACTGCTAGCAAAACCAGAACCTATATAAGTCACATACAAGTAAAACCCAATAGAAACGCCTTTTATACTCAATATTGGCTTCTGATCCAAATTCCAATGCCTCCATCTCTCCATCACCAATAGACAGATGTTGATGCAAGGCCACTCTCAATAACCTTTGATCAATCATGGCAACTGGGAGAAGAGCCCAAAGGCTAGAAGAAAGCAAATGTCATTCCCATTTTCAAAAAGGGCAAGGAGGATTCCTCAAGGAATCAGTCTTGTCAACTTCCTTTCAACCCCAGGGAAGGTAATAGAGGCATTTCCAGCACATTACAAAGAATTCATCAGGAGCATTCAGCATGGCTTCAGTAATGGGATGTCATACTAGACCAGCTTGATAGACTTCTGTGAAGAAATTACTGGCCAGATAAATGAAGGGACAGCAGTAGATATTGTCTACATAGACTTCAATAAAGCCCACGGCATTGTCTCTCATAAGATCTCGTTATGGGACAAGATGTAGACAAGCTCTTGAGGTGTGGACTGGACAAACAGTCAGTAAGGCGAGTTGAAAAGTGGCTGAATAGCCAAGCCCCAATTGCAGTGATCTGTGGCACAAAGTCTAGTTTGAGGCCAGTAATTAGCAATCTATCTCAGGGGTCAATATTAGGTCCAATCCTGTTTAACACCTCTGTTAATGATCTGGATGATGGGGTACAGTGTACTCTCAGCAAGTCTACACCTGACATCAAACCGGAAGGCAGACGGTCATGGTGCAAATCCAGAAGGACCTCAACAGGCTGAAGAAATGGGCATGCTAGAACCCCATAAAGTCCAAGAAGCAAAGTTGTGCACCTGGGGAGGAACAAACCCAGGCATCTACCTATGTTGGAGTTCTCCCTGCTAGAGAGAAGCTTTGCATAAAAGGACCTGGGGGCCCAGAAGTACACAAAGTTGAACATAAACCAGCAAAGAAGGCTGATGGTATCTGGTCTGCATCAAGCAAAGCATTGTAAGCAGGTCAAAGGAAATTATTCTTCCTGTCTATTCAACATTGATGAGTCACCGGAGTGGTGTGTACAGTTGTGGGTTACTCAGTGCAAGATACACATGAACATACTGGAGGGTCTAACAAAGGGCCATGGAAGATGACAAAGGGAATGGAGGACAGGCTGAGAGCACTCGGATTGTTAGCCAACAGAAGAGAAAGCTAAGGGCAGGATATATCACAAATGTTTATAATCAATACTTGAAAGGAGGGTCCAAAGAGACCAGAATCAGTCCTCCATAATGACAGGGCCAGTGGTCAAAGGCACAAATAGACGCAAAGCCAGGAGGTTTCCTCTGAACAACAGGAAATGTTTTTTTTACTGTGAACGTGACTACACACCATAATGTGGTCCAGAGAGGTTATGGAATCTCCATCCTTGGAGACACTCAAAAGCTATCTGGTCATAATTGTGAGCAATTGGCTCTAGAGGCCTTACTTGGGCAGGGACTGTTGGACAATATAAACTCCAAAGGTCCGCCCCTTCCAACCTCAACCATTTTGTGATTCTGTGAGTCACAAAGAGATACAAGAATAACACCAAAGTAGATGGTATTTTAAAAACCCATCTCGTAGCATAGATCTGGTAAACAACACTGGTGCGGATATCTGTAACATACTTTCTATGAAATTAAAAGAGGTTTTAAATGACCAGGTGCTGACAAAGCATTGTTAAAGATTACCCTCCAGGAATAACCTTAGAGGTCTTCAGTGATCTGAAATATACTTGCAGTATATGGCCAAGGTTTAAAGAGCTTTTCTCTTTCCCAGAAATTTTTAGCATTGGATTTAATTTATCCAAAGTAGATTTTACCTTTCTCCTAATCAATTTGCATTCTGAAAATAAACACCGTTTTTCATACACTTATGTAACATTGTAGAGTTTTGAAGTTTTTGTGGGTTTTTTTGTTTGTTAGGGGTTTTTTTTTTCCCAAATACCATTTTTGTTTGCATTTTCAAAAGACATTGAGAGATTTGAGCTGGGAAAAATGAAAGATAAAGTGGTAGAACATAAAACCAAAAGGTATTAACCAGGCCATCAAACTCCCTGGTCATTCAACACAGTACCAGATTTACAGACAGTACCAAAACTGGGGTTTTTTTCAGCATGTTTTAATATAATTTATGTATGTAATTTATGATGAAGTTTCTAACAGTCTTCTTTAGAAATTAGTCCAGAATTTAAAAAATGCAAACAACTTTGACTGGATATTTTCCCTGTTTTCTATTTGGTGCTTTCTGCCTTAAATTTACCTTTCCTTCCATGCAATTCTCCTTTTTTTTATAAATATAACATCACATTCTAACCATGATATATAACCACAACTAAGCTATATATTCACATTCTCGTATTATTGTCACTACTTAGATCTGATATTTATACCTTTTTATATCAAGACTTTAAAGAAAAACATTCAACCTAAAATCCTTGTGTATTCACAGCATTGCTGCCTTACTTGTTAAGAACTCACAGCTGAGATAAATAGATATCTCACTGATGGTACATTTGTGACTCCAGGATCACAGGCAAAGAGCCAAATGATGCTTATGCCCACATCAGTCATTTTACAGGCTCCTTCATTTTTAAATTAACATGTTCTACTACGTTATCCCACCTCCTTTTCTAATTAACAGTCTAGGCATTCCTGCTTTACACTCATACATATCTGTGTTTGTGTATGTAGGCTTACACACATTAAAAACTTCACTGGTCTTCTCAAAGAAGCCCCAGGTTCAAGTCTCCCATATTTACTAACCTCCTTTGGTTTCTCAAATTTTTGCTTATTCCAAATCTCATCTGGCCTGGTCTTAAGTTGGCTGGCCTTAATATCCTATGATTTAACCTCCAGCTAGCAAGGGTTGCCTTCACACTTTGTATTGAACATTGTACACTTAGGCACAGCCCCCATAAAGCCTCCACTCTTCAGATGCTACTACAACCTTCCTCTCAAACACTATTTCCACAGAGACAGATAACCTTCCTGTCCTGCAACGTCTTTACTTGCATGAGAGACTAGAAGGATTTCTTGCTCAAAATGTTTTGGATGTGCGTGTGTGAGGGAAAGAGGGAGGTCAGGCTCTGTTCTGATGAGGCAGTGCATTGCTCCATACACTCCACACCTTAGAGCCTGTATCCCAGCCCCACAGTGGCTTCCAATCCCTGGCACATTGCAGGCAATGCTCCACACCCTGTCCCTGGAGCTCCAGTCCAGCCCCAAGGCGGCCAGATGACTAGAACTCCCACCTGGGAAAGGGCCCAGGAAAGCCAAAGGGTATTTAACCTGAGACACAAGGTGAGCACATCTTGGCCCTTACCTCCTCTTGGAATCTC